CCATGCACAAAGGTTATTTCTCTCAAATGTTGCACACAAATTTGTTAACATCCCTGCTAGTGAGCATTTCTCCTTTGCCAAGATAATCCATCCACTTGACAGATGTGACATATCAATAAGCTGATTAAACAGCATGATAATTACACAGGTGCACCTATTGCTGGGGACAATAAAAGGCCACTCTAAAATGTGCAATTTTGTCACACAACACAATGCCACAGATGTCTCAAGTTGAGGGCGCGTGCAATTGGCATTCTGACTGCAGGAATGTCCACCAGAGCTGTTGCCAGAGAACTGAATGTTAATTTCTCTACCATAAGTCACCTTCAATGTTGTTTTAGAGAATTTGGCAGTACATCCAACCGGCCTCACAACCGCAGACCACGCCAGCCCAGGACCTCCACATCCGGGATCATCCGAGACCAGCCACCCGGGCAGCTGTGGGTTTGCACAACCGAATAATTTCTGCATAAACTGTCAGAAACCATCTCAGGGAACCTCATCTGCGTGCTCATCGTCCTCACCAGGGTCTTGACCTGACTGCAGTTCGGCGTCATAACAGACTTCAGTCGAATTTGTATAGCGCCTCACAATCACACATAACCAGCACTGCCATCATCCTCTTTTACCACGTCACCAAATCTTTCCCAAGCATTACTTTTCTGGCCCTCTAGTCTATTTTTAACTCTCGCAGCTTTTCTCTTATTGAATTAAACTGACATGTCCTTTTTTCCTCAGAGGATCGACTAACTTTTTATGCCCCTTCCCAAAAGCATTTGGCGATTGGCTTTTAGGCTATTTTGCGCTTACAGTTAGGCCCTAAAGCTTATAGGCTTACTCACTAATGCCAGATAGCCTAAAAATAATGAAAGAAAAACCTCAATGTAGCCTATAGATATAAATCGCATAAGAATTATAAATTCAAGCCCACGCATCACTACTAGATACGTATCGAATCGTCTTGAAAGGGAAAGATGCACATCCCTACCACTCGTCTGACATCACTGGTCCCCTATACAAGCATAGGTTGTAGGCCATCCATGCCGAGTACATGTTAAATATGTTTTCCTGTCTTCTTGAAGATGTAATGTTTATGTAGAAAATTATTAATTGAAGAACATAAATTCTGAGCCAGAGCTAGAGGTAGTTTTGTAAGTGTTACAAAAACGCAACATTGGGCTTATGGGTTGTTAAACTGAGACAGGGCCACATTCATATATTGATAGCCAAGTAAGATATTGTTTCCCTTCCAAATTCTGCAAACGTGGACAAGCAAAAACTTCGAGAGCAACTTTGATGCCCCCGCTACACATCAAAAGAACAAATAGGTATATATTTTTTAAACAAAATGAGTGGCTTATGAGCTCAGAATATTGCCATTGACAACCATTAATTTCATGGTGAAGTAGTAAGATCGGCGATGTAAGTTATATGTTCCTCATACATAGAAAATTCACAAAATAGTTGATCCTTTCCAAAAGTATCTGTTTTTTATTTTTTTAAATTATAAAAATCTACAAAATACTAAAATTGGGATTGGTCAAGTTGATCAATTTGGCTATCAGACCAAATATGGACTTCATTTCAGATTTAAATACCATTACAATGTTTTCCATCAGATGTAAATGCTTTGGATCAATTTTTATGTGATTTTAATAGAATTTCACAGTTTTCTTAACACACATTTATCCTACCGTTAAAGCATTTCCTGAAAATTGTTCTACAAACTTGAAATTCAAAAAACTGATTATTTTCCTAATCAGAGGCCTTTTACATGCATTTCTAAAGGGTAATAAAAAAAAGACAAAGATTAATACTGCTGTTCATAACCAAGTGGAAAGTCCTAAATACCAGTTGGTTGCATTCAAGTGCTTGGAACTCATTGAGAAACGCAGATTGGCTAATGGCCAACAAGCTGCTTCAACCATAAACTAAAAGTACAGCTCTCATGCTTGTAAACAAATTAGTGTTCAAAAACAATATTAATAGATTGCTTTTCATAAATAAATGTTTTGTTGTTACATTTAACTGCCGAAAATGCCGTTATCATGGTCATTTCCTTAATAGGTGAAGTCAGAGGTCACCATGTGGGAGAAATCTGAGCTCCGGAATGATAGAAGAGTTTCCCACTAGTAATTTCCAGTTGGAGGGGCGTTCAGATGGATTTCCCCCTGTCTTTTATGGTAAATACCTCCTTCCCACTTCACTTGGTTATTAACGCAGGGTAAGGTATGTTTCCCTGCTCAGGCATTACACATGCGTCAACCAATGGTTGCATGCGACGTCATCGACTGCGCAGTCAGGCAACAGATTGCTATATGTGGTTAGCTGATACGTAAAATACAATTCCAGGCGTTTTAAGATCTGGCATGCGTCCGCAACGCCGTGCAGAGGATCGCGGCCTAACTCTGTGGTTCAGATGTATTTGCTGCCTGAATCTCAGGTCGGAACAGTCTGGTTAAGCCAATAGTATAATATTGCCAATACATGACTAGCTAGCTATATCAAAATAAAAAATAAAGAACCGAACAGTTCCCTACATTTAACAAAGGGAAAAGGAAGTGAACTTAACTGGCTAAGGTTAGCTAAATAGCTAGCTAGGTTGTCTGTACTAGCTAGCTAGTTTGTATCAGAATGATTACAAATTGTACTGCATTTTACCATTTTGTCCTGAAGTGTGTCCTGTCATCGTGCGGTCTTCGCTGCAGTCGCATCTATACTTAAGAACTGTGGTGACGTTGTAAGGTTTATCAAATGAATTTCCGGCCGCAAAGTTATTGAATGCGAAGCTGTGTAAAGCGCCAAATATTTGCCTCGTCCTCTCTGGAAGCGGGTCATGGCTAGAAAGGATACAGTTTATGTCGAAGTGATGTCAAACTCCCGCGAGGGTTTGAATTTTACCTGCCGAAATTGGGACTTCGAATTGTTCAGAATCATTCGGTTTTAATTGAAGTATACTGAACAAAAATATAAACGCAACATGCAAAGTGTTGGTCCCATGTTTCATGAGCTGAAATAGAATATCCCAGACATTTCCAATATACACAAAAAGCGTATTTTCTCTCAAATTCTGTGCACAAATTTGTTAACATCCCTGTTAGTGAGCATTTCTCATTTGCCAAGATAATCCAACCACCTGACAGGTGTGACATACACAGAAGATGATTATACAGCATGATCATTACACAGGTGCACCTTGTGCTGGGGACAATAAAAGGTCACTCTAAAATGTGCAACACAATGCCACAGATGTCTCAAGTTTTGAGGGAGTGTGCAATTGGCATGCTGACTGCAGGAATGTCCACCAGAACTGTTGCAAGATCATTGAATGTTCATTTCTCTACCATAAGCTGCCTCCAACGTTGTTTTAGAGAATTTGGCAGTACGTCCAACTGGCCACACAACCACAGACCACGTGTAACCATGACAGCCCAGGACCTCCACATCCGGCTTCTTCACTTGCTGGATCGTCTGAGGTGTGGGGAGGGGTGCTGAGGAGTATTTCTGTCTGTAATCAAACCCTTTTGTGGGGAAAAACTAATTCTGATTGGCTGGGCCTGGCTCCCCAGTGGGTGGGCCTGGGTGCCAGTTGATAACCATTGCTATGAATGCTAAGAAGCCAACCTTACTGAAGCATGTATCACTCGTTGGACTATCCCTCTGTACTGGCACAGATCTACTACTCACAGGGATCCTCTCAGGATCCCTCACCCCTGACCCATCCTCTGCTACTTTTTTCACTGCCTCAGCATACGACACCTTCTGCACTAATAATAATAATAATAAATAATATGCCATTTAGCAGACGCTTTTATCCAAAGCGACTTACAGTCATGTGCGCATACATTTTTACGTATGGGTGGTCCCGGGGATCGAACCCACTACCCTGGCGTTACGAGTGCCATGCTCTACCAATTGAGCTACAGAGGACCATTACTCTGATTAGCCACCTCAACCTGCCTTTCTCGCACCGGACACTTCCGATCTCCAGCAACATGGGCACCCCAAGAGTTGACACACACAACTTTATCCACTGAAACTACACAATCCTCTATTCCATGCCCTCCAGCACACTTCCCACATCTTGGAATCTCCCTCCTACAAACTGCTGCGACATGGCCATAAATATTGCACCTGAAACAGCGCGGTGGATTCGGCACAAAAGCTCTAACAGGATGATATATCCTAACATGACTTTGTCGGGTAAAGACGATTACTCAAAACTCAAAAGGACTGATAGTGACTCCTCTGTTTCACCACGCTCAACACCGGGTCTGCGTCGCACCAAACTGCGGGCATCACAAACACCAGGAATCTTCAACTTCAATTGCTCCACCTCCACACTTAATACTACCCCCAAAATCACTACTTTTAATGGTGCCCTGCTCCTAAGAGCAAAGCAAGAAACAGATCTTAACCCAAGTTGTGTGACACGGCACGTCCACTCCCTCTGGTCAGAAGAAATACAAAAAAATACAGTATCACAAGTCCACTACTGGTTACCTTCACTGATTCAACTGCACCCAACTCCTTTCCCACCCACCCTGAAACCACAAATGGATCCGCCACAAGGCAAGGATCCGCTTTGTCCAAAAATGTCACTCCTACTGAACCAGATTCTTCTTTATCATGTCCATTGATGCCAGGCTCGGGTTCCGAGCTCTTCCCCACACCTTCACTTAACTCGCCTTCATTCACTTCCATTTCACCTCCAGAACTCGGTCTGGTGCACGGCTCACTCCGTTTGCACTTGACACCAATCTTCTTCGACACCCCATCTCCATTTTTATCGCCATCTTCCTCAGATTCAAATCCAACCTCTGCTTTCCTCATTCTCTTCGACCTCTTCTTCCTATTTTTTCCCCTCCATTCTTCCTCAGAAATACTCCTCTTCTCCCGGCTTTGCTTGCGGTCCGGTTGCATCCCGACATAACTCCATCTCATAATCGACTTGCTCACATCGGAAATGTGTTTTCTCCGGGCGTCAACATTTTGAGAGTATGAGCAGTAGCCGACCCCCATACTCAACTCTGTTCTACTCCCGTCGCGGTGGAAAAGCTTCAGCTCTCCCCAATGGGACGCTACCGAGAGGTGCCCAAGTTTATGCCAGAGACAATTAGGACCCAACCAAATTTTAATCAGAGAACCAAAGACAGACTTTCATGGTGAAAATCACTACAATCACGGTGGTCCACAACAACCGAATGTTCTGGTTTTCAGGGGAAATGGAAAGAGAGCCTGTGATGCAACTTCCACTTTTGGACGTTAACAAGGGATAAGGACACGCCTGACGCCCAAACCGATATTTCATTTCAGAGTTTATTCAAATTAGTTTAGGGTAAGGGTTAGGGTTAAGGGTTTGGTTAAGGTTAGGGTGAAGGTAAGGGTCAGTTTTAGGTTTGGCTAGGCGATGTAGTATCTTAAACAGTCTAGAAATGCTGATTGTTGCAGAAAGTGTGATAGAGGGAACTTGGCCCTAAGATTTTGCTGATGTGGCAAAATGGTGTACTCTACTGTGCTGGAAACATCTGGAAAGTATTACTAAATTCCTGGAAAAGAGGATATGTAATGGCCAGGGATTGGATGTTAGAATCACGCCATGCTCTGGCCATGTATGATATAAATGCCATGTCTTGAACAGAGAGGGAGAACAGCAAAAATACTGATTGGCTGTGCTGTCTCACAGATATCTGCAGAATCTGTCAAATTCTGATGCTGGAACCTTTGTTATAATAAACCTTTGAAAACAGAGTACAGTGTCGGCGGATTCCTTATCATTACAGCATGGACCAGCAAGGGTGTGTCTTTTAGACACTACAGCGATTTAAGCTTCAGCTGTGTCCTTATAGTCTCTCCGTTAACAAGGCGACACTCCATCTTAACTCCTCCTCCACATTTACTGGATTGGTTGAACAGTGCAGAAGAGAACATCCTCCAACTTTTTTTATTTCTTCTTCTTGTCAAGACCAGTATGTAGGGGGATCTAGTTTCAGGCGTTTCTTTTATGCCTGTTACGTTAGGTTACCCTGATGCTGGCTACACTAGCTAACGTTAGCTAGTACTTCCCTGACCGTACTGTGGGACAGCACGCAAGAGCAAAGGACACTGTGCCCGGACAGCCCGGTTGTTGTGTTGCTGGCATAACGTGCATGCTCCCCTCTCCCCATTGATTGAGTAGACTGTACACGGTGTACCAATCATGGTACCAATATTATAAGTCATTTCTCCTGTAGGCTGCTATCTTACTCTAAATAAATAAGTATTGGGAGGAAGAAAGTTGGCCATGTTAGCTACTGCCGGCGACATAGTGATACAGCTGCCCTAGGGAAGCAACTCACGTCAGCAAGCACTTCAATACAACATGTTAGCTAATTAGCATGTCACTGTGACATCCAGTTGGTGACCGATATTACAAGTTATTTCTCCCTTGCCCATCGAAATAAACATAACTTCCTTTTAACAATTTTAATAACAATAACTTTTAATTAGCACCTGGCTGTTGCTGCCAGCATAACTAGCTAGCTAGCTATTGTGTTGGTTTGTTCGAAGTCTGAGGCCTTTTCTCAATTAGATTTGATCAACTCCTTTTGAAAAAGGTAATCGAGGAAAGGGAAAGTGCACGAAAATATCAGGCAAATGACGTTTACAGGTTGGAATCCCAAAATAAAATAATATTTTTTTTTAAACGAATTTAGCACTGAGGAGGATGGTCCTCCCCTTCCTCCTCTGAGGAGCCTCCACTGGGGCCTACATAAAGCTGTCCCAACAGCAGAGCTTTCTTTTCAGCACTATGGAGTGACACCGCTACACCTGGCTATCAGCGGAGCCTTGTCTGGCAGCGAAACAGTTCATTCAGCCTCATTTACGGCCTTTAAGAAAAAACATAGTTGAAATGGCTGACTTGCTTAAACAAATGTGGTTTCTACTGACAATTGAGATGTACAAACTATGGCATAAGGGAATGTGAACAGATAAGAGGCAATCCGTAATTTTGATTAAGACATTAATAAGCGAGCTCAGACGGACGTAGTCAATATAACTATTTGTTCAGCACTTTTGAAATGTACAGCGACAGAATTCAGAACATGGGCCTTTCTTACAGTATTCTCCCTGCACACCAAGTCAGAACCGTAGGATGAATAAAGGGGACATATAAGCAGACAATGAAAGCTCTTACAATATTCAATGATTACATTTCTCTAAAAGTCAGAACAATATGCTAAGTTATGAGGGGGGAAGTGACCAAATTATTAGGGTGAGGCACATGGGCTACTAACAGCTTACTACACAACATACACTTAGTATTACTTTCTTAGCTACATTATACATATCTCCCTGGCATATTACATCATTGATGCAGCAGCATATAATACATTTTTGGACTCACCTTGTTGTGCTGTGCTCACTTGAACAGGAAGGTGGCGCGGCGGTCCTTCTTGTGGGAAAATGTTGTCATCAAACTTTGTCATCAAAGTCTGGCATTCTCTGGATTTATGGTGCTTTCAAGACAACTGGGAACTCTGGAAAAAAAACAAGGTTGACTCATGACATCAGTGATCTTCTGGTTGGAGCTCTAGAAAGAGGCCTGAGTTCCTGACTTGGAATACCGAGTTGGATGACCGTTCAAAACGTATTTTAACAGTCGGAGCTCGTTTTTTTCAGAGTTCCCAGTTGTCTTGAACTCACTGAAGTCTGAGATTTCCCAGTTCCGAGTTGCCAGTTGTTTTGAACGCAGCAGAAATCATGCTGGATTAACAGCATGGCCAATGTATTCAAACTTTTCTGGCCCTTGGCATGTGAATGTTTATTATTTTAAGCTTGGAAAAGAGACCCTTAAACCCAGACTTGGACCACACACCCACTCCATTGAATAGCAGGCTAGTGATTGCTTTGCAACGCTTGCAGTTAGCCAATGATTCCTTCCAAACCACTCATTGTTGAATTTGCGATTTCCAACTTGTTGTGTAATGTTTATGTCCAATGGCCGATGAGCATCGTTACGTTTTATCTATAATTTCTCAAAATATGACAAGGATTGAAAAGGATTTGCGAGTAGATTGTCGACTTGATTCATGATGATGACAGCTTGTCTCGCTTGCTAGCTAAGATTTTGAAAGTATGATGTTGACATGATCAGTCCAATCTGAACTACGGTAGATATAATGTGATTTGACATAATTGTATCTGTGGCCAATGACCTTGATGGGCACTTCTAATGTAAATCTATGGCAGCAACCAAGGGGCTTGAATTTGAGCTCTCCCCGTAGATTTGGCTGTGACGTCGTATCCCCATGAGTGACAGAACACTGAGCCAATCACGGCGCAGCTAGTGAACATTACCAATCCCTACGCTCCGTATTTTCAGAAGGCTGCCCCACCACAACAGAAAGCACTGAGCTAGGCTGAAACATCTGCATTTTGACAGCAAAGACAGCAAAAAAGAGAGTGTTTGTATGCTGCTTTATATATTTTACATTGTTTGCAAATTGATATGTGACACGTATTAATGCCAAAATAACATGCAAAGCAGGCAAAAAAATAATGTAAAAGTGTATTTATTTATTTTTGTAGCTAAATGGGTGGGTCTCTGCCCATTTGCCCTGAATGACGGTCGCCACTGCAGCGCATAGCTGTTGAGCAGACCACCACCTATCGACGATAGTATCGTTAACCAATCATGTCAATGCGGAGCCCTCCACATTTCTACAACATTTGTGAGGCGCACGGCGATGCGTAGGTACTGAGCTCAATTTGGCATCTGCATGCATGCTGAGCCACTGACCACATTTTCATATCAAGCATAAATTGGCTTTTAAGGTCAGGGTTTAGGGTAGTCCCTACCCAAGGATTCCGGATAGCACTAACCGTATCATTAATGAAAGCGCTGGTCGGCAGTCCAACTCTAGCGAGCTTGTGTCGGAACTATTACACTGTCGAAATAGTTTCCACACGGATGTAAAAGCGAGACCTTTCGTCTTTTGCAAACTTGGAGTAAACGTGGCTATTATTAACCTCATTATCATACCTAACGTTTTCGGATGTAACTGCAAGGAAGACTCAAGATGGAAAGACACATCCGTGGGGGAAAAGGTAAAATAATACTTATCTAAAGAAGGTATATAGCTATAGACCGTTGTAGTAACTAGCAATATGGCGAGCTAGCTAGCTAAGTGGCTAACTTCCTGAAACCGAATGTTGATGAACATGAACAAAAAATACTTATAAACCAACTCTTTGTCTCAAAGTAGGTTTGATGTTGTAATAGGCGATTCCATCCCAGCGTGGCTTGAAAATATCTCGGATTGTTCAGGCAGTTGTCACAGACCTAAATAGGGAGGAAGAATGTTTAAGACTCTTTAATCCTGAATGCTGATTGGTTAAAACCGCATTCCAGCCGGTGTCTATTCCACAAATTACCATCAACTAAATCTAATACGTTAAAATGCATATTTACACTGTTCCATCTGACTGCGCAATCCACTGTCTCATCAACCCAGTCAAGCTCTTTATGAACTTGATCAACACAATAAAAAGCATCTAGACATTATCTCACAATTCTTTTAGACTAACATTTAATTTTCAACAGTAGAGATTTGTATAAACCTTGCTGTCTGCCTCTCCGACATTTGCAACATTGTTTCAATATTCAAATTCAATCTCCTGCTGTCCCATAGTATAGGCGATATGCACAGGCGAGCATGACGTATTTCCGGTTAAATCTCAGGATGGATGTAAACTTCCGGTTATCGTAGAATGCTGTGCTACCGTATGCTAGCATTGAATGCTTGTCGTCAAAAACATCCGAAACGGTTAATTTTCGTCGTTGTTGTTGTTTATCTTAATGTTTATGTTAATGTTTTTACTTGTAATACTTTGTCTTGACTTATAACATGATGACGTGTAAATGTACGAAAGTGTCCTTTCAAAAACGGGATGACAGCTCTTCCAGCCATCACTGCTGTGTGCCGCAGTGTCTGTCAGATGCAATTCTTCTGTTAGTTTTTTTTATTTTCCCAAAGACAGTGAATTACATAAACGGTATGTGATTAACATTCGACGAGTCAACTTTCTTACAACAAACACACGAGTCTGCAGCCGACACTTTCTAAGTGAAGATGTGATAGAGCCTCCGACTCCAGCTGGGCGCAGACGTCTGAAGAAGGGAGCTGTTCCAGTGCTGTTTCAATGGACTTGCCAATAATAACAATGGCTTTCCTTCAATTTGTGTAGGCCATGGTCAAATCTCAGGAACTTGCAGTCTATGTAGCTGGCTAAAAAATTTTTGGCTACAGTTGGGCATTTCATTTCAACTAGACCAAATGATGGTTGCTCAAGTGGGTCATATACCAGCCCATCAGGCAATGCACCCAGCCAAGGTGCGTCCAGATGCACGACTAGCCCACACTTTGTCAGATTAAGATTTTTTAGAACTGCATAGTCCTTCAATGCACCTGCTTCCATTTCCAGCCCCCTTTTCATTAGTGGTGTTTGTCTTGTCCCTCTGATAATTATTTCTGCCAGTTTTTTTGCTGTGCTTGTACCTCTAACATGGCTTACCTCCCGGAAATGTGAAGCAGTCACTCTCTCCTTCCTCAGTGAATGACACTCGGGTGTTTCACTTTGGCATCTGGTTGCTTCCTCAATCAGGTGTGACTGTGACAAAGTCACAGACAGAGAACTGAGGTGAAGCTTTTCTTGATCCGTCATGATCTCGTATGAACAGTATGTTGGTTGTAAATGGTAGCCGTCCAGGGGCACTTTTGGGAACGGTGGTGCATCCTCATGGATGACAACACTGTCAGGTGGAGGTGGTGGGTGTTGATATGACAGGATACTGCCAGTTTGTACCTTGACAAAAATGGAGTCCACGAGTGGTTTGTCAGATTCATTCTGCAGATAAGGGGAAGAGAGTCTGGTTCCATGTCAGCATAGGCAGGTAGTGGGTTGAGGGTTGATGGGTCTGGTAGCTCACCGCTGTAGCCCTTGTAAATTGTAGATCTGGAATAACAATATCAGGAAAAGTAAAGGGTTCACTAGGAAATACACCAGAATCTAACAGCGATTAATAACAATTCTTTCGCAACACATTGTAGTCTGCCTATTTAATTGGACTGTAACATATTCCACTCAGCTATTCTTCAAACTGCTGATGTTCTACTCAAAACTGTCCTGTCATCTTTACTTCTTTCTTTATAAACATATGGCCCAACTTCCTTGCTTTTGTACTTGATGTTTCTACTTTTCAAGAGGAATTGGACTCTGCATACCTAATTCCGCTTGCTGGAGTAGCATCTGGTTTGGGCTTCACTACAAACATGGCATCCACAGGTCCTGGCTTCACTCCCTATTTATTTATGAGATGGTATTAGGAGAGATGCTAGTATGCATGTGACACAACTGTCTGGTATTGAAATGATACAAACCATTGTTTGTGGTTTATGCCACTTCTGCTCTGTTTCAGTGCACGAAAGTACAGGAGGGATGACAGACATGCCACATTCAGAGTAATGGGCAGTCTGATATAGTAATGCAACCAAATGACTGCATATCCCACACCCAGCCACACAAACAGTAGCTTTTAACAGGCACAACTGGCTGTGAATCACGCAATGTCATCTGAAATACACAGAAGCATAATTTAATGGGTTTTGAAAGACGAGGGTCTACAGCAGCAGGAGTAGGAGCAAAACTGGTTCTTTCTACTTTTTACTGGTGTAAGCAACTTATCTACTGTCTCGTGTCACATTTGTGCTTTCTGCATCACTTTCCTACTGTCTTGCACCACTTGGCTATTGTCTTGTGCCATTTACAGTGGGGGAAAAAAGTGTTTAGTCAGCCACCAATTGGCTGACTAAACGTGGCTGAGGTGCACCCATGACCAGCTCGGAAACCGGATTGCATAGCGGAGAAGGTACGGTGGGATTCGAAATGGTTGGTGATCTGTTTGTTAACTTGGCTTTCAAAAACTTTGGAAAGGCAGGGCAGGATGGATATAGGTCGGTAACAGTTTGGATCTAGAGTGTCACCCCCTTTGAAGAGGGAGATGACCGCGGCAGCTTTCCAATCTCTGGGGATCTCAGACGTTACGAAAGAGAGGTTGAACAGGCTAGTAATAGGGGTTGCGACAATTTCGGTGGCTAGTTTTAGAAAGAAAGGGTCCAGATTGTCTAGCCCAGATGATTTGTAGGGGTCCAGATTTTGCAGCTCTTTCAGAACATCAGCTGTCTGAATTTGTGTGAAGGAGAAGCGGGGGGGGGGCATGGGCAAGTTGCAGCGGAGGGTGCAGAGCTGGTGGCCGGGGTAGTGGTAGCCAGGTGGAAAGCATGGCCAGCCGTAGCAAAATGCTTGTTGAGATTCTCGATGATCGTAGATTTATCGGTGGTGATAGTGTGTCCTAGCCTCAGTGCAGTGGGCAGTTGGGAGGAGGTGCTCTTATTCTCCATGGACTTTACAGTGTCCCAAAACCTTTTGGAGTTAGTGCTACAGGATGCAAATTTCTGTTTGAAAAAGCTAGCCTTTGCTTTCCTAACTGCTTGTGTATATTGGTTCCTAACTTTCCTGAAAAGTTGCATATCGCAGGGGCTATTCGATGCTAATGCAGTACGCCACAGGATGTTTTTGTGCTGGTCAAGGGGAGTCAAGTCTGAGGAGAACCAGGGGCTATATCTGTTCTTAGTTCTATATTTTTTGAATGGGGCATGTTTATTTAAGTTTGAGAGGAAATTACTTTTAAAGAACAACCAGGCATCCTCTACTGACGGAATGAGATCGATATCCATCCAGGATACCTGGGCAAGGTCAATTAGGAAGGCCTGCTCGCTAAAGTGTTTTAGGGAGCGTTTGACAGTGATGAGGTGTGGTCGTTTGACCGCGGACCCATTATGGACGCAGGCAACAAGGCAGTGATCGCTGAGATCCTGGTTGAAGACAGCGGAGGTGTATTTAGAGGGTAAGTTAGTCAGGATGATATCTATGATATTTATTATGTACGGTTCACGGATCGTAGGGTCTTACAGGAGGCATGTATAGGCAGGTGCTAAAGTTCTCCGTCACTGCGATGGATTTCCTTCATATGAATTCTGGAGAGGTCGTTTTTGTCATCCGTGTAGATCCGCAATAAAAATCTCCGGGGTGGGTGGGCTGGTTTGGAGATGACATAGCCTAATACAGACCGAAGCATGTCTGTTCTACGAAATATATTCCCAAATAAATTTATTCTAAAAAATAAAATAAATATCTGTTACGCTGTGTGCACTGAACTGACATGCATGATTGTTGATGAAACTGTTCAGATGAAGGGAATTAAATAGTCTATAATATGCACCACCGCGGTGCTCAACTGTAACTGCTGGCAAAGTAATCAAAGCTTAAATACAACTTTCCAGTGCTACTATTTTTGCAGTGTAAAAAATCAGACAACCCCATAGTAGAATAGTTTTACCTATTTACTTAATCGTCATGTTTGTGTTCTATGCAAGATAAATATTCCTCTCAAGGCGCATTCTAGTTGCGAGAGCATTAGGAGGGAAACATGTATTCTGACAAGCAGTCAATGCACAACATTTCTTAGTGCAATTGCGGGAAAAAAACGTTTGAAAGCAGTTTTGGCAAATGTATTTTGGAAGCAGTTTTGGCCTTTGTTAAAAAAGAGGGGGATCTGAGGATAATAGCGGACGATATTGCCACTCCTATTTGCCATATCTTCAATCCAAGCCTACTAGAAAGTGTGTGCCCTCAGGCCTGGAGGGAAGCAAAAGTCATTCCGCTACCCAAGAATAGTAAAGCCCCCTTTACTGGCTCGAGTAGCCAACCAATCAGCCTGTTACCAACCCTTAGTAAACTTGATGTTTGACCAGATACAATGCTATTTTACTGTAAACAAATTGACAACAGACTTTCAGCAGGCTTATAGGGAAGGACATTCAACAAGCACAGCACTTACACAAATTACTGGTGATTGGCTGAGCGAAATTGATGATAAAAAGATTGGGAGCTGTTTTGTTAGACTTCAGTGCAGCTTTTGACATTATCGATCATAGTCTGCTGCTGGAAAAACGTATGTGTTATGGCTTTACATCCCCTGCTATATTGTGGATGAAGAGTTACCTGTCTAACAGAATACAGAGGGTGTTCTTTAATGGAAGCCTCTCCAACATAATCCAGGTAGAATCAGGAATTCCCCAGGGCAGCTGTCTAGGCCCCTTACTTTTTTCAATCTTTACTAACTACATGCCACTGGCTTTGAGTAAAGCCAGTGTGACTATGTATGCGGATGACTCAACACTATACACATCAGCTACTACAGCGACTGAAATGACTGCAACACTTAACAAAGAGCTGCATACTCCACAAGACATGCCACCAGAGGTCTCTTCACAATCCCCAAGTCAACAACAGACTATGGGAGGCGCACAGTACTACATGGAGCCATGACTACATGGAACTCTATTCCACATCAGGGAACTGATGAAAGCTGTAGAATCAGATTTGAAAAACAGTTAAATACACCTTATGGAACAGCGGGGACTGTGAAGAGATAAACACAGGAACAGACATACGCATACGCACACATGCTAGCACACACTTTACACACACGTACATTATAATATTGTTGTATGGTGGTATTATACGTTTTGTATTGTAGATATGTAGTGGTGTAATAATGTTATGATGTACTGTTTTATCTTTTGTTTTATGTGTGATGTAAGTGCCTTAATGTGTTTGGACCCCAGGAAGAGTAGCAGCTGCCTGTGTATAGGGCCTAAAATAAGCTTAAAATGGCCACTTTCGTCATGATAAAAAAAATAATGGTTTGTGATACAAACGTAAAAAGCATATGAAACATTCTTCCTCCCAATTAAGCTATGTGAGAATTGCCAAAACAATCTAAGATACCCAAAATATTTTCGTGCCACGCTGGGGTGGAATCAGAGTCTGATCGTGACCAATTCTGTAGCAATAAGGTGGATACTAAGCAAAGATACTCAATGGCCTCTTTCTTTTTCAGATAACGTTGTTAGACCTAGCTAGCTAGCTAGCTAGCAAGCTAATATCTCTTATCTATTATTCACTAGCTATTTTAACTTATTTGATGTGATAACTGCCCATATGATTACATGATTTTTAACTAATTGATGTATGTTTAACTCATCACTCACTACTCCGTACTCATTCATTCACTACTTGTTGCTCATCATTCAAACTTCTTTGAATGTGTATTATTGTTTTATCGTTTGGTCAATTTCTGTGTTTCAGGTCTCCCTCTCCCCTCTCTGCGGCTTATGATTCCACCACTGCGGCTGGTCTCAGCAGCCATCTGGCAAACGATCCAGCAGAGACACGTGATGGATTATGGGATGCTGGAGGAGTTTGTTACCATGGTTACAGAGATGGTGCCAGAGCTTCTGAATCACAGTCAGAGGGCCCAACTTATTCTGGGTCTTCGAGCACGGGTGAGAGAGAGGGGTGGAGCTAGTACTCATTATGACGGGAAAGATGGGATATGATCACATTTAGTCATGTTTATTGTCTCAAATAAGTGTCCTGACTGGTTTGCTCTGCTTTCAGCTGGTCCTGGAGTTGTGTCGCTCCAAGCCGATCACAGACCTCCAGACCATTCAGCCACACCTGGACAGGATACAGACCCTCACACCTCTATGGGGGACACAGGTGAGCTCCTTAGCGCAGAGCCTCAGCTAATGTCTAAAACAGTCAGTGAAAGACATTCATGTATTTCTGATATGACAATGATAGATTATGGTAAAAACATATGCAGACTAACTGTAGTGCTGAGCGATTACTGCTTTTTGATGTCGTTTCAGTTAGATTATTACAAAATAATCACGGTTTTCAGTTTTCAGTTTTAGTATTTATTTTTTTACATTAAATGCACTATGCATTATGTGGGTTGAATGCTGTAACAACGGCAGAATAAAACAATTAATAAAAGTCCCATGATGGTAGTGACTGCCCATTACTGCTTATCACTTATTAACCATCATCATTTATTCACATTACTTTACTTTAATAAAATATTTCAGTTGTTGTGTATATTAGGCTACATTTGACTATTGTTTCATTCAAAGTCATTTAATCTCTATAGAGCTGTTGCCTATGCTGTCTGACAAAATCACTATTTTTCAAAGTACATAAGGCATACTTTTATGACTGCTGAATACCAACTATCAATCACTTAGATCATGTATTTTCAGGTAGAGATACCTCACAAAGTAACAGCTGCTCTCTATATCACCTCACGGTCGCACATTCTTCTCCCTTCTCCCTTCGTAGCAGTTATAAAAGAAAAACAGACTGGATAAGTAGATGCGCAATGGATTATGATCATTGTAGTTAATTACCACTTTTTATGTAGAATATTGGCCTGTTGGAAACTACAACTCCCTACTACATCGCACAGTTCCGGCTGGATTTGATTTATCTCTAGAGAAAATGTGCGATGTGCGCATTGAGCTCACAGAAAAAAAGAAGAAAAAAATGGAATTCAAATAATTGAACCGAGGTTGGTCAATTAGTTGTTTAAAATCCAAAGATAATAATATTCTGTGTTTAAGGCGACTGATGCAGAGGTAGGATTATCTGAATCCAATTTCCTGGGGCTGGTTCAAACCCTTCTGAAAGACCCAGACGAAAGGAAACATTTCTTCCAGGTTAGTGAGTATGTGGGTATGGAATAGTTGTGTGTCATTTCCATGTGACTGCTGTGTATTTTGACAATTTAAATACTTTTTTCTTAGCTCATATTCCTTTACTCTGTTTTAGGATGTTTTTCCTGTAGAATTTGGTCCCAGTTATGACGCAGCCATACAGAAACTCATGTGGCAATTCCTTTCGAGACTGGAGAAGCTACTTCCTGTGACAAACTTCCAACAGGTACTAGTAGAAATACAATTATATACAATGCCTTCAGAAAGTATTCAGACCCCTTGACTTTTTCCACATTTTCCTCAGCAATCTACACACAATACCCCATAATGACAAAGCGAAAACAGGTTTTTATTTACATAAGTATTCAGACCCTTTGCTATGAGACTCGAAATTGAGCTCTGGTGCATCCTGTTTCCATTGATCATCCTTGAGATGTTTCTACAACTTAATTGGAGTCCACCTGTGGTCAATTCAATTGATTGGATTTGGAAAGCCACACACCTGTCTATATAAGGTCCCAGAGTTGAAAGTGCATGTCAGAGCACAAACCAAGCCATGAGGTCGGAGGGATTGTCCGTAGAGCTCTGAGACAGGATTATGTCGAGGCACAGATCTGGGGAAGGGTACCAAAACATTTCTGCAGCATTGAAGGTGCCCAAGAACAGAGTGGCCTCCATCATTCTTAAATGGAAGAAGTTTGGAACCACCGATCGGAGGAGAATGGCCTTGGTCAGGGAGGTGACCATGAACCTGATGGTCACTCTGACAGAGCTCTAGAGTTCCTTTGTGGAGATGGGAGAACCTTCCAGTAGGACAACCATCTCTGCAGCACTTCACCAAGCAGGCCTTTATGGTAGAGTGGCCAGACGGAAGCCACTCCTCAGTAAAAGGCACATGATAGACCGCTTGAGTATGCCAAAAGGCACCTAAAGACTCTCAGACCATGAGAAACAAGATTCTTTGGTCTGATGAAACCAAGATTGAACTATTTGGCCTGAATGCCAAGCGTCACGTCTGGAGGAAACCTGGCACCATCTCTACGGTGAATCATGGTGGTGGCAGCATCATGCTGTGGGGATGTTTTTCAGCGGCAGGGACTGGTGAGACTAGTCAGGATCGAGGCAAAGATGAACGGAGCAAAGTACAGAGAGATCGTTGATGAAAACCTGCTCAGGACCTCAGACTGGGGCGAAGGTTCATCTTCCAACAGGACAATGACCCTAAGCACACAGCCAAGACTACGCAGGAGTAGCTTCGGGACAAGTCTCTGAATGTCCTTGAGTGGCCCAGCCAGAGCCCGGACTTGAACCCGATCAAACATCTCTGGAGAGACCTGAAAATAGCTGTGCAGCAACGCTCCCCATCCAACCTGACAGAGCTTGAGAGGATCTGCAGAGAAGAATGGGAGAAACTCCCCAAATACAGGTGTGCCAAGCTTGTAGCGTCCTACCTAAGAAGACTCGAGGCTGTAATTGCTGCCAAAGGTGCTTCAACAAAGTACTGAGTAAAGGGTCTGAATACTTATGTAAATGTGATATTTCAGTTTTTTACTTTTAATAAATTAGCAAAAATTTCAAAACCTGTTTTTGCTTTGTCATTATGGGGTATTGTGTGTAGATTGATGAGGGAAACAAACAATTTTAATCAATTTTAGAATAAGGCTGTAATGTAACAAAATGTGGAAAAAGTCAAAGGGTCTGAATACTTTCCAAAGGCACTGTAGAGGAACATTGGACTTGACACTTAGGCATTGTGTGAATTCTACCTATATTCCTTCTAACTCTGTATTCCTCATTGTGTCAGGCTGCCTTGCTGCTCAGCGATGTCCCCTCTGTTCTGGAGGAATGTGTTGAGTCCGTGTCTCACCCTCAGCAGCTGAAAACCCTGCTTCAGTACCACAGAGATCTCTGCCAGCTGGACAACCATAGTAGGCATCTCCCACAGGACCCATCATTTTCATGCTTTATCATGGATTCGTTTTAGACACCCCATTGCAAATGACGTCTGTGTGTTGAGTTTTGGTTCCCTTTTTCCTTCTTTTTCAGACCCTCCATCTTCCACCGATGGGGATTGCATTCTCTCAGCTCTCTGTCTTCCTCCTGTGGAAAGGGTGGTAATTACAACAGAGGTGAAGAAAGAAGGAACAGGTATTGATGTAAAAGAAAGAGAAGGGGTGGATAGCAGATCAGGTGAATGTGAGAAAAACAAAACATCCTCTGTTAGTGATGATGAAGAGGCAGAGGATGATGCAGAGTTTTTTGAACAAGAGACAGACAAGGTGGAACCAGAGTACGAAACAGTGATGGGTATAGGGGAAGATGGTATAGAGAAGCCTTTAAAACTTCTCAAAAAGCCCACCAAAAAGAAAGAAGAAACCCATGATGAAAAATGTAGAAAAATGCCCAAACCTGGACAAAAGAGAAGCATAGGCGTGTCTAAAGAAATCATATCCTCCATGATACAAAAGCCCTCAGTGGACCTACAAGGGATTGTCATCGCTAACATGACACAGACCCCCAAATCAAATCAAAAGGTCCCGAGAGCCAAAAGGTCCCTGGAGCGTAGAACATGCAAGGTGTGCGGCAAGGTCGTCCAGCGTCCTGCAGTCTTGAGGAAACACATGGTGACTCACACTGGTGACTGGCCCTATCAATGTCCCACCTGTAAGAAGATTTACAAGGCCTTGGGAAGCTTCCAGGAACATACTGAAAGATGTGTCTTTCCTATTGAGGAAACGCCTGAAGACAGTGAGTCGTCCATATCAGTGATGCAATACAAGGGTGTGATGTTGAAGAAAATTTTACCGCGGCCGCCAGGACAAAAAGCAGGCCCAAATGAAAGAAAACAAAAACGCGTTGTCTGCAAGACATGTCCTGTTTGTGGGAAGACTTTCGCCACAGGTTCGAGCATGAAGCGGCATCAGATTATCCACACTGAGCCCAAAAAGTGCAGAGTCTGCAAACACATCTTCCCTAACTCTTCCGAACTGAAGATCCACATGGAGTCCCATCCGAAGAAAGGAATCCATCAATGTAGTAACTGTGAGAGGACCTTCAAGCACGATTACAGTGTGAAGGCTCATGAAGAGGCTTGTCTTTTTCTGAGTCGTCAACAAGGGGAGCTTGGAGAGAGCTGTGGTCCTCCAGCTATGGGGCAGACAGACCCAGGGCCATCAGGCAGTACACACCAGCAGAGCATGACATGGGAAGCAGGAATCATACCTCTCTCTGCAACTCTGAACAATCAGAATTCTGCCTTCACCTACATGCATTCTGTGGAGGGGTCATCCGCAAGAGCTAAAAGGTCCCTGGAGCGTAGGACATGCAAGGTGTGCGGTAAGGTCGTCCAGCGTCCTGCAGTTCTGAGGAAACACATGGTGACCCACACTGGTGACTGGCCCTATCGATGTCCTACCTGTAAGAAGATTTACAAGACCTTGAGAAGCTTCCAGGAACATATTGAAAGATGTGTCTTTCCTATTGAGGAAACTCCTGAGGACAGCGAGTCATCCTCCACCTCTGCAACCAAAGACTCATCTTCCACCCTGGAACCAAGTGCATCTATACAATCATCCAAACGCTGTGCAAGGTGTCCTATTTGCCATAAATTTGTATCGGGATACCTGAGATATCACATTCTATCTCATTCAGATGAGCGCCCACACGCTTGCCCTCGTTGTGGGTCGAAATACAAGTTCGACTTTGTATTGAGGAGGCACATGAGACTGTTCTGCAAGGTGAGGAAGGGTGAACCTGTTGAATTAGGGGAAAAGAAAATCCACAAGTGTAATGAATGTGGGAAGGAATTTGGGCTAAAATCCACACTGACGGCACACAAACGCATCCACAACCCACTTCGCTGCGCCTATTGCCGAAGGATGTTCCCAGACCAAGAAACGCTTGCAATACACAAGGTAGAGCACAAACCGGTTCAATGCACCATGTGTGAGAAAAGCTTCAATGTGATAAGATACCTCTCCAGACACTACGTGGATGACCATCAGTTCAGTGGGCCGTTCCGCTGCACATACTGTGAGAGAAGCTATGCTGAGTTATCTGTTTTCGTCCGACACGAGAGGACTCACACCGGGGATCTCCCATATAAGTGCTCCAACTGTCCAAAGAAGTTCCATTTTGAAACTGCTCTTGTGACACACCAGAGAAAGCACACAGGAGAGAAACCGTGCCTTTGCTGGGAGTGTGGAAAGAGCTTCCAATCCAAGGGGATTCTGAAAACACACATGAATCGTGTTCACACTCCTCAGGTGAAACGTTTCCCTTGTTCCCAGTGTAACAAAGCTTTCCGGGACAAGGGTCAAATGAAGATGCATGAGAATGTATACCACAAAGGGGTGCGTTACCCATGCTCCTACTGCGGTAAGGGGTTCTACAGCCCTGCCCCATTGGCGAGACACGTATTGATTCACACAGGGGAGAATCCTTATTCCTGCACATTTAAGGAGTGTACCAGGGTTTTCAAATCGGCTTCTGAACTGAGGATACACATGAGATACCATACTGGAGACCGGCCATTCAAGTGCAAGGACTGTGGGAAGGGTTTCGTTCAAGCCCATTATCTTACCATACACCGGCGAAGTCATACCGGGGAGAAACCGTATTCATGTCTCACCTGCAACAAGTCCTTCAGCACCTCCCATCAGTTGAGCAGACACATGAAGACTCACACAGGAGAGAAGCCTTACCAATGTATGGATTGCGGGAAAGCTTTCAATCGTAGAGACCGTTTGCGGACTCATCAAGATAAATGCCACCCAGCTTATTAGTTGAAGTTAAAGAAAGTTAAGATCATTATGTTCTCAATGTTCTATAAATGCTGATTGTGTTAAGCAATTGTTGTAAATTAACTGCTTATGTAACCAGTAGCAAATGACACAGCCTAAACTCAGCATGCTCTAGCAACCCTACCATGTATGTTCTGCGGATTTCTTTAGTTTTCTTTGCTATGGCTGTAGTGATGACTACTTTCTCCTTCTGTGATTAATAAAGTACAATCTCATCAACACCCACCTCCTTACTTCTCATTCAGTCAAGTCAGGGTCAATTGTTTTCCGTAAAATCTTTATTTGTGGTGGCAACATCATGCAAAAGAAAGCTCAGTAAAAAACAAATTGGAATGATCTGCATGTGAGGCCAAATAATGCTTCCAATTCAACAATGCCCATAGAATCAGGTTTGTCACAAAGATCAACAGATCTTCTAAAGTCAGCTCAACAATATGCACATCATGTAGACAATTCTATGGACATTGTTAAGAAACACTACATATGAATCTGCATACACCGACTGGTTTCAGGAGCTGATGTCTGCATTAGTAGCGTACAGTATATTGCCATTGAATGGACTCATTTTAAACACTTAGAAGTGCCATTTTGAAATGACACTCAGGTAATAAAATATAGATACAGGTGATACACCATCAAACCATGGGTGAAGAAAATGAGAATACATTTGTTTTAGTGTAAATTTAAATGAAGAAAGCCATTCACAGCAATGAAGATAAGGCAGTTTATCAATACTGCATTTCAGTGAAAACTCTTTGGGGGTGTAAGTGATAGATCTCAAATATCACTACTGACAGTTCATTCAAATAGCAGGTGACAATTACAGGTAAATTCAAACTTAACATTCATTAGATTTTTTTAATCTGTCAGTTTGGGGATATATTAAGTATTGACCAGGGCATGAATGAACAGTTGTTTAACTGGCCCTCTTTATACAGGAAGTACACTGGGTCAGAAAGAGAAAAACATAAAACTTAGTATCCTCAAAACAAAACAAAACAAAGTTTGCCAGCCAAAGCCAAGGGGATAAAACTCCATTACACTTCCCCACATTTTGGATTCAGGAAAAAAAACAAATGCACATTTGAGATTGCAAATACTAAAACGGATTTAGTCAATAATATCCCACCACAAGAGGTCCGCTCCAATATTTTACAGTGTCAAATCACAGGCAATTTATGTTTTCAGCTCTCATTCACTAATGTGTCAAATCATCATACAGAGAGTACACATTTTTATGTAGAAAACTTTTTCTTTCTTTATACAGAGTAATAAAAAAGGTCAGGCAAGATGCATCAAACAGAAGCCCAAGGCCTTTTTGGGTTTGTTCTGGGTTGCATTCAGCAAGGTGAAGCTTTGAAAGCGTCGCAGATAGAAATATAATTATTAGAGCTGACAATTCCCTAGCTCTACATAACAGACAATCTGTTCTATACAATACATTTCTATCTGAGCACTCTGACGTTTGCACCCTCCTGAACAGGCCCCTGGGTGTCGCTGATAGTGGTAAAAAAACAGGACAAACTGTAAGCAGCTCGCTCTCTGTCTCAGGCATCTTACACTGGCGGTAGGAGGGGGGGGATGGGAGGGGGGCAACTCATGTGCCACCCCCCCAGTGAGTCTGCCAAATCGCTGATCTTTGGCACTTAGGCTGGCAGACTCAGCTTCTTTCCTTTCAGTACTGAAACAGAGAGGAGAGATGTTTAGGTTCAACGCTCCTGATAAACAGATGAGCTTAGCACATTTTCTGCTCACATCTGTGACAAGGAATACCAGAGGTTCCTGGTAAGTGTTTACAGTGGAGATGAAGGCAGTGGGCAGGAAATTCAAGAAAGAACTCGAGAAAGAAGACAAGTAGGCGGCCAGTACGTTGCAATAAACTTTAGTGAACTATTAACAGAAAATATTTACAAAATAATAAATATGAGCATCGTACATGAGGACGCACAAAAATTCAAAATGTGTTGCCGTTGTGCGTCCTCATGTACAATTATGATCTGCTCCTATATGCAGCGATTCTTTTGTAAATATTTTCTGTTAATAGTAAACAAGTTTATTGCAACGTACTGGCCGCCTACTCGTCTTTTTTCTTGAGTGTTTACAGTGACAAGCAAACTGTATATACTGGACTTTAAAAGGTCCAATGCAGCCGTTTCTATGTCAATATCAAATAATTTCGGGTAGCAAGGACCTTACTGGGATTGTTTTCAATTACAATGGTCAAAAATAGCTTCTTAGCAAAGGGCAATTTCCCAAGAAGGATTTTTGCTAGGACTGTCTGTGAAGGGTCTGTGGAGAGGGGAAAACTGAAAATGTGCTGTTGTTGGCAGAGAGGGGTAACCTGCCACCCAGGGTAACAACCATGCCTGTACTTCTCACAGAAACCACTTAATGTCACCATGTTTTTCCCCCCCAACACTTTCCCTGGTTGCCACTACTCTTGCACAACTTTTTTAAGTCACTCAAAAAACATTGAGGTAGGTGGCGTTTTACACCAAGTTACCCTACAATTGACCAGTGTTAGATTTAACCCCACTATCCCCTATGCACTCACAGTGAATTGCAGAGCATGCTTAACCATGCTAAAAACTCTGGGTTTAAAAATGGTGCAGTACGCACATATTTAGGAGTTGAGAAATAAATAAAGTAGGAATGGAAAGCTGGGATCGCCCTCTTTTTAAAAAAGGCCATTAAAGCTGCTGTTTTTCTTGCGATTGCAAGAATTGTTGTGCATTGACTGCTTGTCAGAATGAAGGTTTCCCTCCTTATGGCACTCGTAATTTGAATGCGCCTCTAGAGGAATATTTATCTAGCGTAGAACACACAAGCCGACTAGGTACATAAACTATTCTACTATGGGGTTGTCAGATTTTTCTATTCATTACTTGTTTGTTTTTTTGCAGAGGAAAGGTAAATGTGGGCTGTTCTAGCATCTTCAAAGTGTGCCTTGACCGAAATATGTTTTCATGTTAAATGACTGCTGCGGAAACACTGCACCAAACTTAGGAAATAAGCCAGAAGAAGAAGACTGCAGCTCGACTCACCTTTCGTTACATACAGGTAGAAGAAGTCGCAATAGAGGATTGTCTGAACAACACCGGCCACGATGGCGATCATGTCGAAGAATCCCTCGAAGTAGAAGCGCCAGATCCAGTTGATGAGGTAGAGAGCCCGGTACAGACCCAGGAAGAACAGGTAATGGGTGGTGATGGTCTCCGCCTCGCCCGTCTTACTGATCATGAAGAGCTGGGGCAAGATGGCCACCGACTCCAGGTAGATAGAGAACGTCCACAGGATCTGGAGGGAGAGGAGATGAGGAGCTAGTGAGAGGTGGAATCTGTGGCTGTATAGACCCATTTCCCGGCTGTGTCATGAAAAGTTACGTGCGCAGTTCCGATTCAGAAAGCAGTTTGTTTACATAAAAGTAAATACGATCACGTCCGACTTCAGGTGCAGTTAATAGTGGTTATCGTCTTTACAACATCGCAGAACATTGATTACCTAGCCAGCCAGCGAGGCAAGGTAAAATATCACAAATGAAGCTAGATAAAGCTAGAAGAACAATATACTTGTTGAGCATAGCTAGTCATCAGTATTGTGTGTTTTCATGGTCATCACTCACTCACTGCTAAGTTTGAGAAGGTCCCGACATCAGTGTATAGCTATCTGCTACAGGGCGTTTCGTTGCGAGAATGCGCACGTATCACTCGAACGCGACATTTGCTTTTAAACATAAAATGGCTCTATATCGGTTGCTGTATAATACACTGATGATTCATCTTACCGAGAGACAAGTAGGTGTGTGTCCTTACCTCGAGGGGAGAGAAGTCGTGGTTGACGAGGAACGCCAACCCTCCTACGGGGACAACCAGGAACTCCACTCTGAAGGTGTCATGGTTACCGTCATAGGTGGCCTTGAACTTAGTGTAGATCAGGTACACAGTGGCGTATGCACAGCCAATGTAGATTACCTGAAACATAATACAATCCACCAATCACTGTAACTTGATCCCTTCACTGTAACTTGGAAGATGTGTGTATACATCCAATTAGGTTAACCACACGGCAACCTCAATCAGACACCGATGAGAAAAGTGAGCAAATTAGCTGCTGTGTTTTAAATGTACTAGCGGTTTCCATAGTTAGAGGTACACACTCTTGATGCACCCACTCACACACCAATGAACCTTGGGCATACAAGGGTGTGTCAACTTAACGGTACTTCAATATTGACTCATGTGAGTAGATCTCTCTACTATAGAGCATGGGCGGGGTGTGTTTCTTGGACAACGAGCTCTAAGAGGATGAGCCTGTCACCCTCAGAGGTCCATTGTTTGTTGGGGTGTGCGTCTCGCACCTTCATGGTGGTGTTGTAGAGGGAGATGAAGGAGGTGAGCAGGTCCAGGTAGCGACTGGTGAACACCAAGGCGAACAGGATCTGACTCTTCCCAGAGATACCTGTCAGAGAGACAAACAACCAACAGGTGTATGAGATGTCAGATGTCGCTGTTCTCTCCCAAACTCACAACAGCCCACCATGAGTGCATCTCACAAGCCTTAAGTGGCTTCCTCTCCTATCTCATTTCCTTCATCTGAATTGTGAAATAATTGGGTAGAGATGTTAGCCTTGCATCCTTCCTTAGAGTAACCACTGATCTGACAGGACAGGGTTGGTGTGAGGCTATGAAGTGGAATCCTTGCTTTCACCTATCCAGTCAGGTCAGATCAGTGTTACTTCTCAGGGAGGAAGAGCGGAAAGAAGTGTTGTTGAACAGGGACTGTGGTGGCCCCTTGGTAGAAATCTAAACCTGGAAAGCTAATTTTATCCAATTTCACTGGCTAACCCAGTTAGGACCTGCAAACTCATAACTACACAATGTTTTGTGTTCTATCTTACACTTGTAAATGTCATGAATTTGAAGATACTGCTATGGCAAATCTTGACATTACAGGCATTATGGCTGTAACTTATACCACAAGCAGCAACATCAAATTAATAAAAGGTGACCTTTGTTTGTGATGCTTGCGTACATTAATTTCTGATTCTAACTGAAGGAATGAAAACATGACAGATCAAATCCACTTAGCATCTATGATGAGGTAAAAGCTAGTTGGACTCCATTCAGGAGAATTGCAAACACACAACCAACTGAGTGTCTCATAAGATGTAGGCATAGTACAGCATTATCACATACAAATGCTTAGACCACCTGATGTACAATCCTGGGCTTGCCATCGCAAAAACCTACTCTTTCAGACTGTGCTGAAAGAGGATCCATCCCTCAACCTACCTATGCCTGAAAAATACACAGAGATACTGTATGGTTATGGTCAGTGGCTACAATCTCAGTTATGTTTTGAGAGCACCATGCTTCCGTCCTCTCTAGCATGGCCAGATAGTGAAAACTGTGATAAGAATTGTAAGACTTCCAAGGCATTTTATTACAGGTGATCTAAACACAGGCATAGATAGACTTACAGCTGCTCTGTCCTCAGAAGGCCAGCCTGCAAACACTGGCAAGTGGCAGCACCCACTTGTAGTCAAGAAGCTCACAATACATTAATAACATTAATAGAGTATATTAAAGACTGTATTCAACTTCAGTGCTTACAGTGGTGTGATTATGTTTCTAATGACAGGCCCAGTACCATGTGTCACAAATCCAACCTCCTGTGAGAAGCTACCTGCCTACTGAAGTTGTTGATCATGACAGGTATCAGTGCCTCCTCTGACAGCTCAGATAATCTTAAACCTAACCTTCAACCCCAAACCAGTTTCAAATCAAATGTTATTTTTCAAATGCGTCGTAGACAACAGGTGTAGACTAACAGTGAAATTCTTACTTACAGGTCAATTTACAACAAAGCAGAGTTCAAGATGTAATAAAAAATTGAAATAATGACACGAGGAATAAATACACAGTGAATAACGAATAAAAATAACATGGCTATATAGGGAGTAGAAAATAACATGGCTATATACAGGGAGTACCAGTACCGAGTTGATGTGCAGGGAGGGGTACGAGGTCATTGAGGAACCTATGTACTGTACATATATGGGTAAAGTGACTAGGCAACAGGATAGATAAGACAGTAGCAGCAGCGTATGTGGTGAGTGTGAAAGTGTGTGTTTGTTGGGGTGTCAGTGTAAGTATGTGTGAGTGTGTGGGTAGAGTCGGTGCAAGAGAGTAAGTGAAAAAAAGGTCAATGCAGGTAGTCCGGGTAGCCATTTGATTAGCTTGTTAGCTGTCTTGTTTAGAAGTCTTATGGCTTGGGGGCTGTAGTTTACACAACCGACTGCAACAAGCCTTGTATTCCCAGGGGCCATTGGGAATTGACTAATTTCATTCTGTACAAGTTAAAGTAACATAAAGTCCTGTATCAGCTGTGCATTTGACAGCAATTAGATTTTTTACCATATTATCCGCGTTCAGTGACAGCGCTGCCACGTCAGAGGACAGACAAGGGTGGCAGCGGATCGGGCGACGGGGGTGGAAATGAATTAGCGGACTAAGCTCAAAGGTTTCTGTACTACAACAGGGATGATGAGGCATGACATACCACACACTGAAAAGGGTTTAGTGGGCCCTGATGGGGCACCAAACTGACGTGCGCAAATCTGTTGACCTGACATCGCTAGCTGGCCAGTAAATGAGTGGGGGACTCAACACAAGTCAACTAACGTTAGCTATCTAACGTTACTTAGCAACCGACATTGCATACAAACGAGAATCAAATGCGTGTCATGATCACTGTGATTTGGGTGCATTTGATTTGGCATTGATCTGTTTACTAGGCCGTGCTAGCATCAATGCTAACAATCTGATTTGATTAAGCCTCAAGTTAACGTTAGTAGCAGCTAGCTTGTCAACACAAGAAACCACTGCAAGGAAACGTTGCTAGCTTAATAGCTAGGTACATTGCACTGGAATTGAGATGGCAATCGGAGATGTATGCAGCTTGCAAATAGTCTTAATAATCTTACTCACCGGCACAGGACCTGGTTTTCCATATTTTTAGCAGTAGGATGATGATGGCTGCTAAATGTGAGAGATCACCGGTGAGTCTGAAAATGTTCATGATTCTGCTGGGTGCTGCAGGCGGCTGTGCCTTCGCTAGAACGAACCTATGCCGGTCAAATCAAATACGACCTTCTAGCCTCCGTTGCTGGCAGGTTTAAAACCTTACAAGAGGGTCTGTCAGGCACCTAAATTGACGTTTTCCTTGGTCTGGATGAGAAAATGGCGAGTAATGCGCGACGTGGCCCCGAAACGTGGCGCTCAATGCAAGCCGGGAAAAAAATTGACGTTCGCCTAATGGGAGGTTAGACACGCCCGTAAGAAGGGCACTTCCGTGATCACAGAAATTTATTTTATATTTTCAACTACGATATTTATAAAAACTAACTAAACCACACTCATTTAAGAATTTGACACTGGAATATACTACTTTGCAGAAGATATTCATATAAAAGTGAAATACTCAAAAGAGACACTCAAATGCATATAAGACACTCACATCCAATACCCTTCATTCAAATAACATCCTAATCTGATACTGCATTTACACGTCATCTCAAACTTCTATTGCACTTTCTAAAATATAAAAAAGTAAACTATTGAATATGAAGGTCAAGAATGACATGACAGTCACAGAAAAAAAATCATTTATTTGTTGTTGAGGCAATATTATTTTTCAAGTAAAATACACTGAGGTGAGTGGCACATTATTTAAAGTAAACGTGTTTTGCTGCCTTGCTGCCTATAAAACTTCAGATGGGCTGTATTCACTGATAAGGCCTCGTATCGCAATCAATCATCAATCCAGATATCAGTGTCATTGTAACAGAACGATACTGCCCAGTTGAAAATACAACAGTGAGAACAGTGTGCTTATGATTAAACCTTAAGACAATTAGACTTGTAGAAAGTGAAGAAATTCCCTCCATCTGTGCTTGACTGAATCAATAGAGATCCAATTATTCAATTGTACAGTTTCACAATGTGTTATTGCTGGAGAAATGAAGTATCAACTCAGAATAAGACAATACATTTAAAGCAATATACTTCAACCAAGAACAGACAATTTGCAGTGATATGGAACATTTTATGGAAAATTATTGAGGATAATAGCGGACGATATTGCCACATCTTCAATTTAAGCCTACTAGAAAGTGTGTGCCCTCAGGCCTGGAGGGATGCAAAAGTAATCCCTCTACCTAAGAATAGTAAAGCCCCCTTTACTGGCTCAAATAGCCGACCAATCAGCCTGTTACCAACACTTACTAAACTTTTGGAGGAAAAATGTGTTTTACCAGATACAATGCTATTTTACAGCAAACAAATTGACAACAGACTTTCAGCACGCTTATAGGGAAGGACATTCAACAAGCACAGCACTTACACAAATGACTGATGATTGGCGGAGAGAAATTGATGATAAAAATATTGTGGGGGCTGTTTTGTTAGACTTCAGTGCGACTTTTGACATTATCGATCATAGTCTGCTACTGGAAAAACTTGTGTTATAGTTTTACACCCCCTGCTATATTGTGGATAAAGAGTTACCTGTCTAACAGAACACAGAGGGTGTTCTTTAATGGAAGCCTCTCCAACATAATCCAGGTAGAACCAGGAATTCCCCAGGGCAGCTGTCTAGACCCCTTACTTTTTTCAATCTTTACTAACGACATGCCACTGGCTTTGAGTAAAGCCAGTGTGTCTATGTATGACACTATACACATCAGCTACTACAGCGACTGAAATGACTGCAACACCTAACAAAGAGCTGCAGTTAGTTTCAGAATGGGGCGGCAAGGAATAAGTTAGTCCTAAATATTTCAAAAACTAAAAGCATTGTATTTGGGACAAATCATTCACTAAACCTCAACAAAATCTTGAAATGAATAATGTGGAAATTGAGCAAGTTGAGGTGACTAGCATACACACACACGATAACATACGCACCATACACATACACATGGATTTTGTGTTGTAGATATGTGGTAGTGGAGTAGGGGCCTGAGGGCACACACACTTGTGTGTTGTGAAATCTGTTGTGATTGTGTTGTAAAGTTTTTTAATTGCCTTAATTTTGCTGGACCCCAGGAAGAGTAGCAGCTAAAGGGGATCCATAATAAATACATTTAAGTCATTTAGCAGACGCTCTTATCCAGAGCGACTTACAGTTAGTGAGTGCATACATTTTTCAAATACAAATAGTATATGACATCCTCCCTACCTCTCATTTACAGATGTATTATATATTCAATGGCAAACATCAATTTTGTGTGTTTCTTTGCTTAGAATGTAGAGGTATGACACAGTATGACACATGGTGGTTGGTAAATAGTGGAGCTACGAGAGTTTAAAACCAGGATTCACCAGCTGACTTTAAAAAGATAATTACAGTTTAAGAAAATATCTTGCTTCAGCTCCACCAGTGAAATAAAAATCCAGCACCCAGTCAGATAGGTGCTTTTAGCAACACGGGTGTATTTACATTAGCGTTGCTTTCAATTGTATTGGGTTGCACAAAAACAGTCTGTGGGAAGCAAGAAGTTAAATACAATTCCATTTCAACCGGTGGGCATTAGGATGGGAGGAATTTGAGACAAAATATCAGACTTATAATAATTAAATCCTTTAGATATTTTGTCTAAAATGTCCCTGTCATAATGACCAACCGTCCTGCCCCCCTGCACAGTAAGTTCAAATGGAATTGTATTTAACTTCTGGCTTCCTGAGGACAGTGTTTGTGCAACCCAATACAATTGAAAGCAAGTATGTAAGTATGTAAATACACCCGCATTGCTAAAAGCACCTAACAGTAAGATGAAGCTCTCTACTGTACACAGATGCTCTAGGAAAAGTCAGAGGATGCAACTCAATAGTCTAAAGTGGCTTCCTCTCCTGTAATCGGTCTGCATTCATCTGATAACACAGGATTGGTGAAAGTAACATGGCAAAAACCTCTCACTTGTCCAGTCCCGTTGGAAAGATGATCGGTTTAAGATTAGTGCTGATGAAGGAAGGAAGAAATGGATGCAATTTTGGACAATTCAGATGCATTTCAAGATACAGTAATTGACTTCACTCCTCCACAGGTTTCAGGATGAAGACAGCATCGTCCAGTACATAGTAATCTTTGTACATGTCTCCTTCACACAGATATGGCAGCCGAGTCACTGCCTCCACCTCAAACCCCACCTCCCGGAACACCTCATTGGACAGGTTGGTGACTTGCTCCTCCCACTTCTTCCCCGTCACTTTGATGTGCTCTCTGGGGCGCTGCCACTTCCCACCTATAGACAGAAAAAAAACACTAATTCAGGAGACTAGTCTAGAAAAGGCCTTGTGGCAGCCGAAACAACAATAAAAGTATTCTACGTGTCCCCATGTCTTTTATTTTGAATACTGTTACTATCCAGCCCGAAAGGATAAAGGCTGTTCCATGCGCATTCACACAAATATCTCATCGACATCAGCATATGATTTAGCTGAAAGTCTCAAGTAAGGACATGGCCCTAAGTCTTTATTCTGTATCACTGATCTCTGCTCCATCTCACCTATCTCCACCCAGGGCTGGAAGGGCAGGACAGCGGCCAGGATGAGTCTCCCTGTGCCGGGCACCAGCGAGCGGTGGATGCCCCTGAGGAGATCCAGGGGGTCGTCACAGCGGTCTAGCAGATTCAAACAGCTGATCAGGTCATACTGGAACCCAGTATGCTGCCACTCATCAATACCTAAAAGCCTGAGAGAAAGGAGAGACTGAGTGTTTGTGTGTGTGTGTGTGTGTGTGTGTTTGTGTGTCACTTACTTGTACTTCCTCTGGAGGTGCCACTTCATGGGAGGAGAGACCTCAGTGGTGTAGACCTCTCTGAAATGGGCTCCCATCACCTCAGTGACACCCCCGTCCCCAGCCCCTAGGTCCAGCAGTCTCTACCCTCGCCACTCGGGGGCGACGCGGAGCAGCTGCTGGAACTGATCCGCAGAGAACACAAACATAGAGCCACGACCTAGGAACCTGGTAGAGAGGGAAAGAAGAATGAGTGAGGGGTGCGGCACCTGGCCAAAATACATTGAAAGAGGTGAGAATAGAGAATAAGTGATGGGCATGGAGAGACCCAAGAAAGGAGAAGGGTGTGAGAAAGACGGAGAAAGATAGAATGACAGCATTAAAGAGCTGTCTTTACCTACCCGTTGATGGATGTGCGTGACACCAGGGGGCCGAGGACAGTGGAGACGAAGGAGTGGTAGAGCTGGGTGAACATCAAGCCAGACTTCTCTATACTGCGTCTCAGAAAAGCCTGGGTGTCCCGGTCCAGATGGCTCTGCACAAACAGAGGCCGTACCACCTCCCCCAACAGGTCTGGAGAGCACCTGTACCACTGATGAGCAGGGAGGGAGGGGGAAGGGAGAGAGATGAGGGGAGAGAGAGAGAGCAAAGGGGATAGCACAAGAGATGGGGAGAGGGGAAGGGAGATAGGAGAAAACAGCGAGAAAGAGGGAGTGAATCGAGAGCGAGAGTTACAGTGATGACAACTTGTCTTTGTATCAATCGCTTCATAAACAAGGACATCAAATTAAAATGTCTTGAATATGAGTCAGAACAAATTATGACTTCTATTCCACCTGGTAACCAAGGGTATACGGTCTCTTGTTCTTCCTGATTGCACACTCTTGCCTTTAAAATGCTCACTTCGGCAAAATCATGTCAGTGAGAAGTGTGATATCCTCTGACAGTAAATAGCTAGAGTTGCTTATTTACTTAAAAGGTAACTCTGTAGCTAACTAATTACCTCCTGGGTATCTTGTCCGGCTTCTTTGCTTTCGCTCACCATGTTCATGAAAAGTGAACGGGCGAGTGGACTGCGCACGTATTTCCCCGTCCACATCTTTCTAGTACCGAGCAGCAAGGCAATGTAGCCCAACACCCACGCCACAAAAAGCAATGTCCTCAGCTGTAAATGACACATACCGACAATAACTCAACAGATTTGGAAGCTATCAAAAAGTGCCTGCGGCAACCTGGTTGTTGACTGACTGCCCACTAGATATTCAAGTTGTTAAACAGATGTAATATTAGCTATCTAGCTAGCCAGAGAGTATCCAATTGTGATAGCACACGAAGTGCATACCTTTAGGTCCAAACATAACAAACACACAAACCTGAGGGCGTGGTGAGCGTTTGGAGTCCACATGTTATTTATTCGACATCTCAATCCGTTGTGCAAATACTTTCAGCTCAATTCGAATTGTCTTGTGACTGTCACATCTGAAGACTGAAACTGTGCTGGCAGCCTACAGCAAATGATTGGGAAAGAATCTGGTAATACATGTGTGCTTCCTGTGTTCCATCTACATATGTCCCCCACAGTCAGCAGAGTGAATGCATATTTCAGTTGGTTGCGATCTGCCAATACAAATGTAAAGAAGATGAAGAAAGAAGATGGTTGGCATTTTCAATCACCTCAACACAGTTTCATTTGTCTGGAACATGCACAGACACATTTCTGTGGGGAAAGGTAACAAACATATTTGTAGTTATACATAAGCTACTATTTAAATAGAACATTCACTTAGCTAGCGAGTTATGGCCAGAGCCATATATACTCTGTTTATTAGGTACACCCATCTAGTACCGGGTCGGAGCCCCCTTTGCCCCCTTTGCCTCCAGAACAGCCTGAATTCTTCGGAGCATGGCATTCAATCGTTGCTCAATTGGTATCAAGGGACCTAACGTGCCAGGAAAACATTCCCCACACCAGTACACCACCATCACCAGCCTGTACAGGCAGGATGGGTCCATGGACTCATGCTGCTTATGCCAAATCCTGACTCTGCCATCAGCATGACACAACAGGAACCGGGATTCGTCGGACCAGGCAATGTTTTTCCACTCCTCAATTGTCCAGTGTTGTTGATTGCGTGCCCACTGGAGCTGCTTCTTGTTCTTGTTTTTAGCTGATAGGAGTAGAACCCGGTGTGGTCGTATGCTGCAATAGCCCATCCGTGACAAGGAATTACGAGTTGTGCGTTCCGAAATGCCATTCTGCACACCACTGTTGTACTGCACTGTTATTTGTCTGTTAGCTTGCACGATTCTTGTCATTCTCCTTCGACCTCTCTCATCAACGAGCTGTCGAACAGTAACTGGATGCTTGTCTGCCTGCTTTATATAGAAAGCCACGGCCAGGTGACTCATTGTCTGTAGGAGCGATCAATTTTTATTAACAGGGTAGTGTACCTAATGTTGGTGAACACATAATTCAGGAGAGGGAGGACAAACCATCGACGCTAGACAGAGAGGAATTTGCTTAATGCAAAAAGGCAGTTTATTAAAACAGAGAGATCTTGTCCTGCTCAAGCTACATGCATGGACCCCAATCAATTGCCTCTTATGGAGACAGTTGAGAAGGATGATTAAACAGAGTTTACAGCATACTTTATACAATGTAACATAAAGGAAGGGGTCCTTCTTCTAGTCCCTGATTGGTTCCCGAGGCGTAGGAGGCGGGTCTGCTCTGTCCAGAGCAGATGCCCCATTGGTGCACGGCAGAGTCCTCTGCCCTTGGCACCCGACCAGTAGACAGGGGAGTTGAGAATGAGTGTGCGTGCAAATGAAATGTTGGTGTGTGTCAAGAGAAAGTGGTGGGGAGTATCTGGTGGTTAATGGCCGGAGAGGGGGTGTTGTCCTATTATCGCATTCCTAGGCCATCTGGTGAGAAGATAAGGTGTTCTCCTGTCCTTTGTTCTCTGACCTGGAACAGCATTTATTGAAAACAGGCTCCAAATGGGTCTTACAGAACATTTTAGTCAGACCAATCTATAACAAATTATATTTACTACGACACTAATAAACTGAGTCTATAGATATGGCTCGGACTATGCCTAACTTCCTGCTGCATTGTGAGGGAACTCAACTGTCATGATGTAGCTAGTAGTACCTTGGACTCGTTCTATAACGTATAAAAATTTATTTTGCAGGTCTGATTGTATGGCAGTGTAATGCATAGATTACAACAGGACCATATGACATGAAGTCAAACATGAAGTATGAACTTCAGACATATTAGCTAAATCTTTCTATCACAGTTTAATAGCCATTAGGCCAAAGGCCGGCAGATGGCTATATTCAGTCATTTCAGTTTACCGTAAAATGAAACGACTCAATATCGCCATCTGCCGGCCTTGCCATTGTAGGTGCTTATAAATTGTTTTTTGGTCAACAAAGTCAACTTCTGTGTTTCAGGTCCCCCTCTTCCTCTCCCCTCTCTGCGCCTCATGGTCCCACCAGAGCGACTGGTCTCAGCAGCCATCTGGCAAACGGTCCAGCACAGACGTGATGGATTATGGAATGCTGGAGGAATTTGTTACCATGGTCACAGTGATGGTTCCAGAACTTCTGAATCACAGTCAGAGGGCCTGACATATTCTGGGTCTTCGAGCACGGAAGGGATGGAGCTAGTGTTAATATAGGTTCTAAATATACAGGTAAGACGAGGATTCTAATATCCCATAACTCTTGGCAATTCATGGGACCAGCGTTGCTAGTAAGCAATGGCGCTAGTAGTTATCAATGGAGCTGGTCCCATTAATTTGTTTATTTTGCGAACGCTTCCGCATGGAATTACTTCATCATTGTCTTAACCTTCTGATCTTTAACCTACACTACCAGTCAAAAGTTTGGACACACCTACTCATTCAAGGGTTTTTCTTTATTTTTACTATTTTTTACATTGTAGAATAATAGTGAAGACATCAAAACTATGAAATAACACATATGGAATCATGTAGTAACCAAAAAAGTTTTAAACAAATCAAAATATATTTTATATTTGAGATTCTTCAAAGTAGCCACCCTTTGCCTTGATGACAGCTTTTCACACTTTTGCCATTCTCTCAACCAGCTTCATGAGGTAGTCACCTGGAATGCATTTCAATTAACAGGTGTGCCTTGTTAAAACTTAATTTGTGGAATTTCTTTCCTTCTTAATGTGTTTGAGCCAATCAGTTGTGTTGTGACAAGGTAGGGGTGGTATACAGAAGATAGCCCTATTTTGTAAAAGACCAAGTCCATATTATGGCAAGAACAGCTCAAATAAGCAAAGAGAAACGACAGTCCGTCATTACTTTAAGACATGAAGGTCAGTCAATCCGGAAAATGTCAAGAACTTTGAACATTTCTTCAAGTGCAGTCGCAAAAACCATCAAGCGCTATGATGAAACTGGCTCTCATGAGGACCGCAACAGGAAAGGAAGACCCAGAGTTACCTCTGCTGCAGAGGATAAGTTCATTAGAGTTAATTGCACCTCAGATTGCAGCCCAAATAAATGCTTCACAGAGTTCAAGTAACAGACACATCTCAACATCAACTGTTCAGAGGAGACTGCGTGAATCAGGCCTTCATGGTCGAATTGCTGCAAAGAAACCACTACTAAAGGACACCAATAATAAGAAGAGACTTGCTTGGGCCAAGAAACACGAGCAATGGACATTAGACCGGTGGAAACCTGATGAGTCCACATTTGAGATCTTTAGTTCCAACCGCCATGTCTTTGTGAGACACAGATTAGGTGAACGAATGATCTCCGCATGTGTGGTTCCCACCGTGAAGCATGGAGGAGGAGGTGTGATGGTGTGGGGGTGCTTTGCTGGTGACACTGTCAGTGATGTATTTAGAATTCAAGGCACACTTAACCAGCATGGCTACCACAGCATTCTGCAATGATACGCCATCCCACCTGGTTTGCGCTTAGTGGGACTATCATTTGTTTTTCAACAGGACAATGACCCAAAACACACCTCCAGGATGTGTAAGGGCTATTTGACCAAGAAGGAGAGTGATGGAGTGCTGCATCAGATGACCTGGCCTCCACAATCACCCGACTTCAACCCAATTGAGATGGTTTGGGATGAGTTGGACCGCAGAGTGAAGGAAAAGCAGCCAGCAAGTGCTCAGCATATGTGGTTACTCCTTCAAGCATTCCAGGTGACTACCTCATGAAGCTGGTTGAGAGAATGCCAAGAGTGTGCAAAGCTGTCATCAAGGCAAAGGGTGGCTACTTTGAAGAATCTCAAATATAAAATATATTTTGATTTGTTTAACACTTTTTTGGTTACTACATGATTCCATATGTGTTATTTCATAGTTTTGATGTCTTCACTATTATTCTACAATGTAGAAAATAGTAAAAATAAAGAAAAACCCTTGAATGAGTAGGTGTGTCCAAACTTTTGACTGGTACTGTAGGTGTTAATCAAACCTTCGGAAAGATGGGATATGATCATATTTAGTATTAATGTACCCACTATGTCTCCTGACTGGTTTGCTCTGCTTTCAGCTGGTCTTGGAGTTGTCGCTCCAAGCTGAATGCAGATCTCCAGACTTGAGGAGCTACTTCCGGTACCAAACTTTGAACAGGTACTGAAATTAGAGACAAAGGAATGGAAACCTGGGTCCATTCGGTGATAATATCTGATTTCGTTCTAACACGGTATTCCTCACTGTTAGGCTGCTTCCGTGCTCAGGTTTGTCCCCTATGTTCTAGAGGAATGTGTTGAGTCCTCGTCTCACCCTCAGCAGCTTGAAACCCTGCTTCAGTACCACAGAGACCTCAGCCAGGTGGACAACCATGGTAGGCATCTCTCACAGGACCCATGTAGATGTTGGCTTATCTTCTGTAGGGTACATTGACATTTATTCACTATTTAAATATGTCTTAAATTTGTACGCTTCTCTTCCCTTTCTAGATACTCTGACTTCTTTCGATGGGGACTGCATCCTCTCAGCTCTCGGTCTCCATCCTGTGGGAAGGGTGGTGATTGCAACAGAACAGACAAACAACAATGAGGACATGGAGGTTCATGCCGTTAATGAAGAAGAGACTGGTGTGGTGATTGGACCAGTAGAATGAGATGGAAGGTACTGTTGAAGAGGTGGACCCTAGGTACGGAACAGTGATGGTTATCGGGGAAGATGGGGTGGCACAGCCTTATGAAGATTTTAGGGTAGAAAATAAGAGATCTTTCAAAAAGCCCAAAATAAAGACACATAAAGCAAATGGAAGTCATGGAGAACAAATGCTTAGCATATTCAACATCATGTCTGATTTTATCATATCATCCATGCTTTAACAGCCCTCAGTGGAGCTACAAAGGATTGACACTACTAACCTGATATTGCCCTTTAGACCAGTGAGAAGAAACAGGGGCTTAAGATGAAGACCTTTCTAGCACAAAAACAGAAACAGAATTTTCTGATTTTTATTTCAAGAAATTCCCAATTTGTGGGAAGACATGAAGCGGCACCAGAGAATCCACACAGGAGCACCCATTTCAGTGTCTTCAGTGTAGGAAATGCTTCCAACACTGTTTTGATCTGGCGACACATCATACTTGTAAAGTAGTTGTGTTAAAACCTAAAAGATGAAGGACCTGAAATGTCAAATAAGTCCAAAGTGTGCGGATGGATGCTATCTCGCGCTTCAGACTTGTCTAGGCACTTGAAAACCCATTCCCAGGATCACCCTGGAACGTATAAGTACTTAAACAATATGAGGGTTCATGAAGAGGCTTGTCTAATCGAGAAAGGGCATCCAGGGGAGGTTCTCTCTGGAGAGAGCATTTGTCCTTCAGCTATGGGACAGAAAGACCCAGAGCTATCTGACAGTGCACAGCAGCAACCATCTCCAGGGGGGAAAGACAGTTGTCCAAGACAAACCAGAAAAGCACATGCTAAGCAGAAATCTCACAATCTCCCGTTGCCAGCATACCTCAGAGTTCGTCCTCCATCAACACCGCTGTTGAGGAGGAGCGGCCACACACCGATAAGATTCCCCCGAACCACAAAACCTCAGAAAGCGCTCCCCCATCATTGTTTTATGTATGATAAGAGTTACAAGGACCCAGAAAGCTTGGCGAAACAGACTTAAATGTGAAATAGACTCCAAAGAATCACATAGCAGATCTCCAGCTAGTGATGAGATGGACTCAGAGATGTCCAGCGAAACATTCCAGAAACCTGAGGGAGAGGACACAGAGCCATCCAGTGGAACTCCCCGAGGCCACCAGTACACCACAGGGCCCATCTTACAAACCATCTAGTGAACATAGCCAGAGCAAAACACACAAACTGTCAAAAGTGTGCTGCATTTGCAAAAAGTGTTTGCCAAAATCTAGTAGCATGAAAGTTCATATAAGATCCCACTCAGAACTGTTCACATGAGATCCAACTCAGAACTACACCCTCACACATGTGGTAGGGTTTCAGATGTTTTCGGAAGATGGGCAGGGACTTTCCTAGCTTCAGGGGAAAGCTGGTTCCACCATTGGGGTGCCAGGACAGAGAAGAGCTTGGACTGGGCTGAGCGGGAGCTGCCCTCCCATAGGGGTGGGAGGGCCAAGAGACCTGATGTCGCAGAATGGAGTGCTCGGGTTGGGGTGTACAGTTTGAGCATAGCCTGAAGGTAGGGAGGGGCAGTTCCTCTTGCTGTTCCGTAGGTAAGCACCATGGTCTTGTAGTGGATGCGAGCTTCAACTGGAAGCCAGTGGAGTGTGCGGCGGAGCGGGGTGACATGAGAGAACTTGGGAAGGTTGAAAACCAGGCGGGCTGCTGCGTTCTGGTTAAGTTGCAGGGGTTTGATGGCACAAGCAGGGAGCCCAGCCAACAGCGAGTTGCAGTAGTCCAGACGGGAGAGGACAAGTGCCTGGATTAGGACCTGTGCCGCTTACTGTGTGAGGTACGGTCGTACTCTACGGATGTTGTAGAGCATGAACCTGCAGGAGCGGGTCACTGCTTTGATGTTTGCAGAGAATGACAGGGTGTTGTCCAGTATCACGCCAAGGTTCTTTGCACTCTGTGAGGGTGACACTGTGGAGTTGTCAACCGTGATGGAGAGGTCTTTGAGCGGGCAGGCCTTCCCAGCGAGGAAGAGCAATTCCGTCTTGTCGAGGTTGAGCTTGAGGTGTTGGGCCGACATCCTCAACCACGCTCAAGGTCCTAAACGATATTATAACCGCGATCGATAAAAGACAGTACTACGCAGCCGTCTTCATCGACCTGGCCAAGGCTTTCGACTCTGTCAACCACCGCATTCTTATTGGCAGACTAAATAGCCATGGTTTCTCTAATGACTGCCTCGCCTGGTTCACCAACTACTTCTCAGATAGAGTTCAATGTGTCAAATCGGAGGGCCTGTTGTCTGGACCTCTGGCCGTCTCTATGGGGGTGCCACAGGGTTCAATTCTCGGGCCGACTCTATTCTCTGTGTATATCAATGATGTCGCTCTTGCTGCTGGTGACGCTCGGATCCACCTCTATGCGGACAACACCATTTTGTATACATCTGGCCCTTCATTGGACACTGTGTTAACAAACCTCCAAACGAGCTTCAACGCCATACAACACTCCTTCCGTAGCCTCCAACTGCTCTTAAACACTAGTAAAACTAAATGCATGCTCTTCAACCGAACGCTGCTTGCACCCGCCCACCCGACTAGAATCACTACTCTCGGCGGGTCTGACCTAGAGTATGTGGACAACTGCAAATACCTAGGTGTCTGGTTAGACTGTAAACTCTCATTCCAGACTCACATTAAGCATCTCCAATCAAAAGTTAGATCTAGAATCGGCTTCCAATTTCACAACAAAGCCTCCTTCACTCATGCTGCCAAACATGCCCTCGTAAAACTGACTATCCTACCAATCCTTGACTTCGGCGAAGTCATTTACAAAATAGCCTCCAACACTCTACTCAGCAAATTGGATGTAGTCTATCACAGTGCCATTCGTTTTGTCACCAAAGCCCCATATACTACCCACCATTGTGACCTGCACGCTCTTGTTGGCTGGCCCTCACTACATATTCGTCGCCAAACCCACTGGCTCCAGGTCATCTATAAATCACTGCTAGGCAAATCCCTGTCTTATCTTAGCTCACTGGTCACCATAGCAACACCCACCCGTAGTCTGCGCTCCAGCAGGTATATCTCTCTGGTCATCCCCAAAGCCAACACCTCCTTTGGCCGCCATTCCATCCAGTTCTCTGCTGCCAATGACTGGAACGAACTGCAAAAATCTCTGAAGCTGGAGACTCTTATCTCCCTCACTAATTTTAAGCGTCAGTTGTCAGAGCAGCTTACCGATCACTGCACCTGTACACAGCCATTCTGAAATTAGCCCACCCAACTACCTCATCCCCATATTGTTTTTTATTTTGCTAATTTGCACCCCAGTATCTCTATTTGCACATCATCTTTCGCACATCTATCATTCCAGTGTTAATACGAAATTGTAACTATTTTGCACTATGGCCTATTTATTGCCTTACCTCCATAACTTACTACATTCGCACACACTGTATATATATTTTCTGTTGTATTTTTGACTTTATGTTTTGTTTACCCCATATGTAACTCTGTGTTGTTGTTTTTATCGCACTGCTTTGCTTTATCTTGGCCAGGTCGCAGTTGTAAATGAGAACTTGTTCTTAACTGGCTTACCTGGTTAAATAAAGGTGAAATAAATAAAATAAAAATCTAAGTTGAGATATCTGCCAGGCACGCAGAGATGCTTGTCACCACCTGGGTGTCAGAAGGGGGGAAGGAGAAAAGTAGTTGAGTGTCATCCGCATAGCAATGATAGGAGAGACCATGTGAGGATATGATGGAGCCCAGTGACTTGGTGTATAGAAAGAAGAAGAGAGGGCCTAGAACCGAGCCCTGTGGGACCCCAGTAGTGAGAGTACATGGTGCAGACACAGATCCTCTCCACGTCACCTGGTAGGAGAGGCCTGCCAGGTAGGATGCAATCGAAGAGTGTGCATAGCCTGAGACACCCAGCCCTGAGAGGGTGGAAAGGAGGATCTGATGGTTCACGGTGTCGAAGGCAGCGGATAGATCTAGGAGGATGAGAACAGAGGAGAGCGAGTCAGCTTTGGCAGTGCAGAGAGCCTCCGTGACACAGAGAAGAGCAGTCTCGGTTGAGTGACCCGTCTTGAAGCCTGACTGGTTAGGGTCAAGAAGCTCGTTCTGAGAGAGATAATGAGAAAGTTGATCAAAGACAGTACGCTCAAGTGTTTTGGAAAGAAAAGAAAGAAGGGAGACAGGTCTATAGTTTTTTACATCAGATGAGTTGAGTGTTGCTTTCTTGAGGAGGGGAGCAACTCAGGCCATTTTGAAGTCATAGGGGACGCAGCCAGTGGTCAGGGATGAGTTGATGAGGGAAGTGAGGAATGGGAGGAGGTCTAACAGACTCTCCCCACTGTATTTGTAAGCAGGGACACGATCAATATGGACACCATCCAAAGTACATATGCTTAAATCATGAGAGTTATTTTTATGCGCTCTAGAGAACAACATATACTTATTTTTACCTGCATTCAGTACTAATTTCAGGTCAATAAAGTTTTTCTGTAATACAATGAAGGCAGGCTGTAGTTCAGATAGAGCCTGGTCATCTGTGGGGGCAATAGCATACACAAAAGTATCATGTGGTCCTCTGTAGCTCAGCTGGTAGAGCACGGCGCTTGTAACGCCAAGGTAGTGGGTTCGATCCCCGGGACCACCCATACACAAAAATGTATGCACGCACGACTGTAAGTCGCTTTGGATAAAAGCGTCTGCTAAATGGCATATTTATTTATTTTTATTTATCAGCGTACAAGTGCAGGTTACAATTTTTTACAGACAAATCAATATTGTAAATGTAAACAGTAAAATGTACAGGACCAAGAATCGACCCCTGCGGGACACCTTTTATAATATCCAGCCCGCGCAATATTTGGGTTGTCAATTAATTTTGGCCCGCTTCCATACAGCCTGCGATGTGTTGCACTACAAATCGCAGCAAGCACTGCCAATGTGCTGCATGCCAAACTGCAGTGCTAATTAGCTACTAATGTGGCTATCCTAAAGAACTACAAATGCCATGATGATCTGGACGAGACTGCCTGTTATGATGAGTTTCTCGGGTATCAAAGAATCAAGGATGCAAGGATATACTTAGACACTTTGTAGACAGTTAATGCAAATGTTTAATGATCGGTACCGGGTTCGTTACAACAATGACCAGAGCTTTGCCCTTGGTGTTACGAACTAACTTGAACAAAGAAGACACTCTACCTTATATACCTTCTGTTACCCTCTTCTTGGCATACATCTGGTAAGTCTCCATGGGCACTCCCTGTCTTTGATGTTCATCACCCTTATCCCAAGTCAGTATCCTGTCCATCAATCATGCTATCCTAAACATCAGTAATCTCCTTTGACATAATGGAATGTAGACTTTCTGTCTCCTAACCACTTATCTAGTAACTCTAACCTGTTCCCCACGATACTATGACATGACATCATTACACTATAAAAACATCATATCACTGCCGAAGCAAGGCAAATGTAAGAATCTCTGGATAAACAATCTAATGTTAGCTAAATATAGGAATTAATAAAATGGTAAAATGTATTTAAATGTCTAATTCTGTGAACTGTCTTGTGCAAGTTTTAAATTGACACAATACCTGTTAGCAAAGGTTTCAGCTAGAGATTACATGCAGGAGCTTGCAGGGATTTGTAGTCTTGCATGATGTCTACTTTGATGCTAATTAGCATTTTCGAATCTTAGAGTAAATAGAGCCGAATAGATTGATAAAAGTCACCTTGTCCGAGAGAGATTTACATGGTTATCAAAACGTCACGCCAGGGAAAGCCTATACGAAACACAACCCTTATTTGAAGTGTTTCTTAAATTCCCTATGGGAAAAATGAATGGTGGAGAAACGATTGGAACCATTTCCCTGTTTGATCGCCTGGTTTTATGGGTATTAGGACACCTCCACTGTGGGGCTCTATATGGTGATCGGAGTATGGGCGAGTGGGTGTGTCGAACAGAAGGTAGTGGGTGTGTCAAAAGGAGTGGGTGTGTCAAAAGGAAAGTAATGGGTGTGTGGAAAGGAGTGGGTGTCTCTAGGTTAGATGGTTCCTTCCGTTTCTTACCATGCAGCTACCGTTCATTGAGGTACCGTACCGCAAGAGTTTGGACTTCTGTTTTTAAGCCAGAGTAGGAGTCTGAGTAATATTTCACTGTTAGTTTTACACAAGTAATTGTACATTTTCAGTTATTAAACTGACAATGTTTTATTTTTTATTAAAAGTATTGATGATGGGTGTATTGTTGCTTCATGTGTTGTATGCATGAAGCAACTCATTTCGACACACCCACTACTTTCCTTTCGACACGCCCACTCCTTTCCTTTCGACACACCCACTCATTTCCACACGCCCACTACTTTCCTTTCGACACACCCACTCACCCATATTCCGGTCGCCATATTGAGATGCAGATACCCCCTTCTCCTTCAAGTCGGCAGGCAGGCCGATACAACAACACATGTGCACTGGTCGCCGTTTATCGACTCATCATGCAGCCCAATCAGCGACACAAAACATTAATGAGTGGCAACAAATCTGCCCAATTAGCTGATTCGCTTTCCATATACCCACTCCACAGATAGAACAATGAGACAGATATTTCACCGGATGTATAAATGTGAAGCATCCGCTTGGCGGCCCATTGGCCGGCAGTGGGAGAAGATGGAACGAGATGGATTTTGGCTGACATCGTGCTAATTTTCTCATAGATTAAACATTTAATCTCAATACAGTTTTCTGTTCCCAAAACTCAAATCTGTTACGAACAGAGTGGACAAAGTTTTGTAGACTTTACTTTAAAAAAAAATAAAAAATTTATGAGTGCAGAGGCGAATTGAGTTATTGCAAATGCGCACTTCACAGAGTAGGCGTTCCCTAACGGAAATATGCAAATGTGTGCTAGAACGCGGCAATAGGATCTCGCTAGATCGTCCTTGGCTCTGCCCACCTCCTTGCTTGTTCTGCCCACTATGACTAATTTGTTCCCGTTTGAAACGACGGGCTGTGGTCTCTTGGTATAGTTATAAAAATCTTTGCCCACTCCTTTTAACACACCCACTCACCCATACTTCGGTCGCCATTTTGGGCTGCAGCTTCCCAATTTTTCATAAAAGCATTTCCACCAACATTTCTCGCAGAATTAATTTTACAGACACAAAAATATCTCACTTGGTCTAGCGTATATTGTTTTGTCGACATTTTGAAAGTTTACAGAAAAAAATTATGTTTCCATCAGGCCTGTCATTACATGTTTTATTCGACATGTACTTTACTCGCATGAAAAGGTTGGATGGAAACCTGGTTACTGAGCAATTATTGCACACAATTTTTCTTGAGGCAAGTCTAAGTTTGGTAGCCGAAGTCTACGCCCCTTCTTTGGTGATCGGTCAACAGTACAACAGGAGTGGGAACATGAAGTGTTTGTTGCTATTCAACAAGTTTTCATGATTTTTCTTTTACGAGAAACACTGCACCAAGCATCTTATGTAGATGTACAGTAAGATTGTGCGACTAAGACATCCTTGACAAAAACAACAAAATGTCTGACATTTCTTGATTGATCTTAGATTAATTCAGACTACTTTGAGGTAGTACTTCTGGCAATGTTGTTGCTACGGTGGCTCTAGAGGGACAAACAACAGTAATATTTATGCTTTTTCTCTAGGCAAAACATTGTATTAAACAATTTAAACAATTTAGGACTTTGTTTAGACTGAAGAACATACTGTATAGTACGTTTTTAGGAAGTATGAGCGCCTATCTGAGTTCTGCTAGAAGCAAACAGAACCTATGTATATGGACACCAAGTGGTCATGCCACAGATAGAAAATGTGCTTTAGTTATAAATGGTCGTGTTCGAAATCCATGATGCATTGTGGGGCAATGGTGACTGACTGATCTACAAATAATAATGAGTAGTTATTGACGATGCTTTGTAGATCAGTCAGTCGGCTCAATGTCCAACAAGCCCAATATCTATATGTGGTTACGCTTGAGGAGCTACACGTTTACCGGTACTTCGTGTTACATTTAAATAGGTCCCCCGCAGTCTTGTTCGACAACGCACACACAGTGGCACCAAATATTATCTAATATATTGACAAGATTATCGAGTGACCACTCCAACAATGGAAATGCATATCCTCAAAGATGGACGGCAGGTGAGAGGAGGCGAGATCAGGTGGGACCATTCTAGCCAATGAGAGGGCAGAAACGCCACAACTCCGATATAAAGTTGTTTTCAAAGTTGCCGAAATGCCGCATTCGTAACAACCTAACCATTACGAAACGTCTATTCAATCAAATAAGCCTGACGCAGCAAATTAGCAATTACATATTTTGTTAACCAAATTCGCCACTAATGACCTCCATACAAAAATAATTACTTCCTGGCCTTATTTTCGTGGACAGATTTTGAGCGGCGTAAACCCTCTCGCTTCGCCTCTTCCTCTCTGGTGATACTTTCTTATATGCAGTCATTGGGTGGCACACATTGGCAAAAACGATTGGCATTTTCGTGTGTTTGGTGTGACTGCAGTGGAGAGACATGCAAAAACAAATGTCTGGGGGGAAAGGTAACATATTTATAGCTAGCTATGCGTAAGATACTAGCGCTAGATAGGACATACTTAGCTAGCAAGCTACTGTTTTGTGCGGGAACTGGACTCGTTCCAGAACGTCTAAAATATGTTTTGTGGGTCTGTTATTTGGAATTATTGAAGTTGTGCAGCATTTCTATACCTCTCTGATTTCATGCACGTTCTTCTATTGAATAAGGCAGTAGAATAATTAAACTTCCTTGACGTTTTAGCTTGCTAGCTAACAAGCTAATTTATTTGCTGCTTTGCGGTCGTTTCACCGCTTCTCTAGGCCCTTCCAGAAACAACCCCTACTACCTGTCCCCATTATTTTAGATCCACGCTTTGATCAACTCCCCTAAGCTAATCAAAAGGAAGACTCGGTGACTCCAAGAGAAGGGCTAGGGGTTGTTTCTGGATGGACAAGTTCTTCTCTCTCTCTCTCACTCACTCACTCACAAAACATTCTTGACAATGACACACATAGTAACACATAGTATTGGCAAAATAGTTCCACAAGCTAAAATTTGATATGCCGTGCAATAATAGGTGCTTGATTTGTGAACAACCTACGTCAAATTCTCTGTTTCAGGTCCCCCCCTTCCTCTCCCCTCTCTGCGCCTCATGGTCCCACCACTGCGGCTGGTCTCAGCAGCCATCTGGCAGACGGTCCAGCAGAGACACGTAATGGATTATGGGATGCTGGAAGAGTTTGTTACCATGGTCACAGAGATGGTTCCAGAGCTTCTGAACCTCAGACAGAAGGCCCAACTTATTCTGGGTCTTCGAGCACGGGTGAGAGAGAGGGGTTGAGCTGGTGCTCATCATTAAGGGGGGAAAGATGGGATATGATCATAATTAGTCATGTTGAAATAAGTCTCCTGACTGGTTTGTTCTGGTTTCAGCTGGTACTGGAGTTGTGTCGCTCCAAGCCGATCGCTGACCTCCAGACCATTCAGCCACACCTGGACAGGATAGAGATCCTCACACCTTTCTGGGGTACACAGGTGAGCTCCTAAGGACAGAGGCTCAGCAAAGGTTTACATCAGTCAGTCAATCAGCCAGTCAGTCAGTCCCACACAACTGATATGATAATGATCATTATAACAAAAGTATTTTCTTTCTTGCAGACTGATGATGGAGATTTATCTGAATCCAACTTTCTGGGGCTGATTCAAACCCTGCTGAACGACCCAGATGAGATGGAACACTTCTTCCAGGTCAGTGTGGCTTTGGAATAGCTGTGTAGGTATACTACTACCCAGAAGTGCACGCTCACAATCCATCTTATTTATAAACCATGCTGACCAATGTTGACCTTTTTGTAAGGCTGTATGTGTCCATGTGAGTTGCAGGTGCCTAATGTTCTTATACCAGATGTGATTTATTTTATACTAATTTCTTATTCCCTCTCAGGATGTTTTTCCTGTGGAATTTGGTCCCAACTATGATGCAGCAATAGAGAAACTCATGTGTCAGTTTCTTTCAAGACTTGAGAAGCTACTTCCAGTATCAAACTTTCAACAGGTACTGAAATTAGAATAATACCATCATCAATTCAGTGAAGGATCACTATTCACAAAGGTTCATTCATAGAGTATCTTTTGAATCACCCCTAAATCGTATCTATTTTCCTTCTGTGTCAGGCTGCGTCCCTGCTCAGCGATGTCCCCTCTGTTCTGGAGGAATGTGTTCAGTCTGTGTCTCACCCTCAGCAGCTGAAAACCCTTCTTCAGTACTACAGAGACCTTGGCCAGCTGGACAACCATGGTAGGCATCTCTCACAGGACCCATGTAGATGTGGGCCAATCTTCTGTAGGGGACATTGACATTATTCACTATTTAACCATTGTCTTTAATTTCTTGCTTCCCTTTCTAGATACTCTGTCTTCTTCCGATGGGGACTGCATTCTCTCAGCTCTCTGTCTCCCTCCAGTAGAAAGGGTGGTGATTGCAACCGAACAGACAGAGTCAGAAACACAGACATTATCCTTGAATGTCTTTATGGATACATTCACCAAAGAGTTGGAGGTGGACTCTGCAACACTGACAGAGTACACAGAGATGGAACCCGGGACAAGTATGGATGTAATAGGAAGAGAGGAGAGGGTGGAATGTGAGAAAAGCAACAAACAAGCTATAGAGTTTGCTGACCCTGTGGAACATGAGGACATGGCGGTTCATGCCGGTAATGAAGAAGAGAATGTTCTGGGGATTGGACCAGTAGAAGATGAGACTGAAGGTATTGTTGAAGAAGTGGATCCCAGGTACGGAACAGTGATGGTTATCGGGGAAGATGGGGTGGCACAGCCTTATGAAGATTCAAGCATCAGAAAGCCCCAAATAAAAACTCAGAAAGACAGTGGAAGTCATGGAGAACAAATGAAAAGCATAGATGTATCTGATACGATTATATCCTCAATGCTTCACAAGCCTTCAGTGGAGCTTCAAAGAATTGACACTACTAACCTGATATTGCCATCTAGACCAGTTAGACAAAACAGGGGGCTTAAGATGAAGACATTGCTAGCACGAGAACGGAAACAAACCAAAACAGAATTTTCAGAAGAAAATACATTCAAGAAATGCCCAATTTGTGGGAAGACTTTCAGTCGAGGTGCAGACATGAAGCGGCACCAGAAGATCCACACAGGTGAGCGCCCATTTCAGTGTCTCCAGTGTAGGAAACGCTTCCTGTATCATTTTGATCTGAGGAGACATCGGCAAAATGTGTGTAAAGTAGTTGTGTCAGAACCTGAAGGTGAAACATCCAAGCAGCTCAAAGGCAAAGGTGAAAGACCTGAAATGTCGAATAAGAGTTACAAGGACCCACAAAGCTCGGAGAAACCGAGACTAAAATGTGAAAAAGACTCCAAGAAAAGGCGTAGCAGATCTCCAGCTAGTGATGAGAAGGACTCTGAGATGCCCAGCGAAACAGTCCAGAAACCTGAGGGAGGAGACACGGAGCCATCCAGTGATGTTCCTCTTGAGGCAACACCTGAGGACAGTGACTCGTCCTCAACCAGTACACCCCAGGACCCATCTTACGACCCATCTGGCGAACCTAGCAAGACCGAAAAACACAAACAGTCAAAAGTGTGCTGCATTTGCAAAAAACGTTTGCCAAAATCTTACAGCATGAAAGTTCACATGAGATCCCACTCAGATCTGCGCCCTCACAAATGTCCTCATTGTGGGCAGACGTTCAAGAACATCTATGATATGAGGAAGCACATTGTAAAGACAGTGTGCAAGGTGCTGCGAGCTGATCCTGAAGAGGCCCAGGCCCAGGTAGATGCACTCACCCACAGCCCTCTCCACTGCACTGAGTGCAGTAGGATGTTTGCAGACCCAGTAAAGCTAGATAGACATAAGCTGTCGCACAAGCCTTTGAAATGCACCATGTGTGAAAACAGCTTCAACGGGGTCAAGCCCCTCAAGAAACACTATCTGGATGTCCATAAATTCAGCGGGCCATTCCTCTGCACCTCCTGTGATAAAAGCTACACTGATTTAGCAGCTCTGATCAGACACGAGAGGACTCACACCGGAGATCTCCCATACCAGTGCTCCCACTGTCCAAGGAAGTTCAACTTATCAGCGGTTCTTGTCGAACACGAGAGAATACATACAGGAGAGAAACGATGCCTTTGCTGGGAGTGTGGAAAGGGATTTATCAGCAATGCAAAACTGAAAATGCACATGCTGTGTGTTCACAGAAAACCTGAAGATAAACACTTTTCCTGCTCCCAGTGTGACAAATCTTACGCGTTACAAAGGACGTTACAAGTCCATGTGACGAGACATCATGCTGGGGTGCGTTTCCCGTGCACATACTGCGGTAAGCTGTTTCTGAACATGTCCTCATTGACAAGGCATGACCTGATTCACACTCAGGAGAGGCCTTTTAAATGCACCGAATTGGAGTGCGGCAAAAGTTTCAAATCGAAATCTGAAGTGAAGGTACACATGAGATACCATACTGGGGAGCGGCCATTCAAGTGTATTGTCTGTGGGAAGGGTTTTACTCAAAACTGTTATCTCACTCAACACATGCGAACTCATACAGGGGAGAAGCCATATCCGTGTTCTGTCTGTGGAAGAAAATTTGATGACTCTAGGAAACGGAAAAGACACATGATGATTCACACCGGAGAGAAGCCCCACAAATGTTTGAAATGTGAGAAAGCTTTCAGTCGGGCAGACCTTTTGAAAGCACATGACAGGAAAGAACACTGAGCAAGTTCAAGTCAAAGGATTTTGTTTTTGCTTTGTATTTTTTTCTGTATAGATGTTGGTAATAAACATTTTGTCCCTCAATGTTCTGAACCTATTCTGGATCTGTTCTGAAATATTGTTGTTTGCTGTCTTAACAATGAATGATCTAAAAAACATAACATGTCTGGGAATAGGTATCCCTGGTTTTAAGGACAAGAGTTGGAAATAATGCAAGCTATAAACACTGATGCAATGGCTTGGATGGTTGTTTAGTCAATGTGTTTTTATCTATCGCCATTCAAATAAAACCATGTGTATTTTGGTGCAGATCCGTACTTGCCACTAGAGGGAGGTGGTCATCTTTCTCAAGCATCCATTCACACTTCACTCTGAATGAAAGTGGATAGGACTATGCTTTTGGAACATACCTTGTTTTTGTCAGTCAAAATAAGTTGTGCTTTCTGAAACGTATGGTGAAATGAATATATTTAGTGTTTAGTTTTGTATGTTAAATAATTGGACAAAAACATGAGGGCAGTGTCTGTTTATGAACAGTGATTGTCAGCAGCATCACATCACAAAGGTGGAGCTCAAAGTTCAAGATGTTCAGGGGTTTTCTAAGATAAGGCTCTAACATTATTATACTGTCAGATAGATACTAGACTAGGCTATGTATGCTGTAGTGCATTCTACAACGGAAGGGGTTTTCTGCCAATCACACCCAAAAATGTTTCAGTTTTAATAATGGTCACTATGGCTGCTTTTAGAGGGGCGGCTCAATTCTGATATTTGTTTAACTAATTGTTCTTTTGACCAATCAGATCAGCGCTGAAAAATATCTGATGTGATTGGTCAAAAGACCAATTAGTGGAAAAAATATCAGAATTGGGCTGCCTGTCTAAACGCAGCCTATGAGACCCCTGGGCCTGTTCTCATGCATAGGGCTTAACTTTGTTGTTTCAAGTGAAAATAAAATGTATTGAATGAGTGTGAATTTAAAATATTTTTTAAATAATGCTTTCAGTAGTTCATTTGTATATTTATTATATGTATTTTATGGTCTGCGATAACTGTCTTTAATAGGTATATTGAAAGGTAGGCTATTAAGGTTGGCTGGAGTAGACATCAATGAAAGAATCATGTGCACTTGTTTTCCCAGACCCTACAAAATGCACATAGCCTAGTAGGCCCGTAAAGGAAGACAAGACTATTCATATTCGATAGTACAAGTCATCCAATGGCACACTCTTGGGATGCCTATGTAATTTCAACTTATCAGCAAGTGCAAAGGGAAGTGTGCATTGCGATAGTAACTGATAGAGAAGAACAGTACAGTATGTTGCCGGGGACTTGTATAATTGAGAGGTCCCGGGTGCCGTACGTTTTGCGAGCATGAAGAAGTCAGAGATAGCCAGACTAGTAAATTGGGCTAAGGAACAGAAGTTGGGTATTAGAGAAAGGCCATCAGTGCATGTTCTGCAAGGAATACAGTGGATGAAGGCGTGGCATGAGCATGGTGAACGGATAGATGTGGTTATGGACAGCGGGAAGAAGGAGAAGAGCCGAGTGCAGAAGGAAGATGTGTGTTTAGGAAGAATACAAACCATACTCTGCTGTCTCTGATGGCTCAGAAATCTAACCTGACGAGAGTGAGGATGAATTACCTGTGGTGGCAGGAGTGATGAAGATCTCAGAGTACAAGCCTCACCCCGATGGTCATGCAAAGGATGATTCTGGCTCATTGGGAGTGACATTTTTTGAGAAAGTGGATCCCTGCCTTTTGGCTGACCCACATGTAGTCTCAGGCTGGGTAGAAAATAAGTTGTGTACTGTTAAATCGCTGAAGGCAGCTCCAAGTGGACTTGTGATGATTTTCTATGTTTCACGCGCCTTGGAACAAGACCTGTGACTTGCTTTGCTCTCTGGAGCAGAGCACCTTTGAGTGAATACTCAGGTGAATACTGGGGTGGCATTAAATGTTGAGGTGGAGCAACTGAAATTGACCCGGTGGCGAGCGTGGTGAAACTGAGAAGACATTGTTCTTTTCAGTTTTGAAGCAGAGTTTTTACCTGACAAAGTCATGTTAGGATATGTCAGAAGTGCCCAGTGCGAGAGAGACAGGTTAAGGTTGCCAGGGTCAGAATAGAACAGAATGTGGCATATGCTGAGGCAGTGAAGAGAGTAGAGGATGATGGGTCAAGGGTGAGTAGTAGGCCTAGGCCAATACAGAGTGATACAAATTTGGGCTTCAGTAAGGTTGGCTTTTTAGCATTCATTGCCAGTGTATACAATTGTACCGCAGAAATTGAATGTAAATCACAGAAAATAGATGTTGTGGTGGCAGCTGCAGAGAAGTACAGTTGTGGTCAAAAGTTTTGAGAATGACACAAATACTAATTTTCACAAAGTCTGCTGCCTCAGTTTTGATGATGGCAATTTGCATGTACTCCAGAATGTCATGAAGAGTGTGAAAAATGTATGCACTCACTAACTGTAAGTCGCTCTGGATAAGAGCGTCTGCTAAATGACTAAAATGTAAATGTAAGAGTGATCAGATGAATTGCAATTAGTTGCAAAGTCCCTCTTTGCCATGAAAATGAACATAATCCCCAAAAAAACATTTCCACTGCATTTCAGCCCTGCCACAAAAGGACCAGCTGCCATCATGTCAGTGATTCTCTCGTTAACATAGGTGAGAGTGTTGACAAGGACAACGCTGGAGATCACTCTGTCATGCTGATTGAGTTAGAATAACAGACTGGAAGCTTTAAAAGGAGGGTGGTGCGTGAAATCATTGTTCTTCCTCTGTTAACCATGGTTACCTGCAAGGAAACACGTGCCGTCATCATTGCTTTGAACAAAAAGGGCTTCACAGGCAAGGATATTGCTGCTAGTAAGATTGCACCTAAATCAACCATTTATCGGATCATCAAGAACTACAAGGAGAGAGGTTCAGTTGTTGTAAACATGGCGTCAGGGCGCCCAAGAAAGTCCAGCAAGCGCCAGGACCGTCTCCTAATGTTGATTCAGCTGTGGGATCGGGGCACCACCAGTGCAGAGCTTGCTCAGGAATGGCAGCAGGCAGGTGTGAGTGCATCTGCACGCACAGGGAGGCGAAGACTTTTGGAGGATGGCCTGGTGTCAAGAAGGGCAGCAAAGAAGCCACTTCTCTCCAGGAAAAACATCAGGGACAGACTGATATTCTGCAAAAGGTACAGGGATTGGACTGCTGAGGACTGGGGTAAAGTCATTTTGATGCATCCCCTTTCTGATTGTTTGGGGCATCCGGAAAACACCTTGTCCGGAGAAGACAAGGTGAGCGCTACCATCAGTCCTGTGTCATGCCAACAGTAAAGCATCCTGAGACCATTCATGTGTGGGGTTGCTCCTCAGCCAAGGGAATGGGCTCACTCACAATTTTGCCTAAGAACAGAGCCATGAATAAAGAATAGTACCAACACATCCTCCGAGAGCAACTTCTCCCAACCATCCAAGAACAGTTTGGTGACGACCAATGCCTTTTCCAGCATGATGGAGCACCTTGCCATAAGGCAAAAGTGATAACTAAGTGGCTCAGGGAACAAAACATCGACATTTTGGGTGCATGGCCAGGAAACTCCCCAGACCTTAATCCCATTGAGAACTTGTGGTCGATCCTCAAGAGGCGGGTGGACAAACAAAACCCCACATATTCTGACAAACTCCAAGCATTGATTATGCAACAATGGGCTGCCATCAGTCAGGATGTGGCCCAGAAGTTATTTGACAGCATGCCAGGGTGGATTGCAGAGGTCTTGAAAAAGAAGTGTCAACACCGCAAATATTGACTCTTTGAATAAACTTAATGTAATTGTCAATAAAAGCCTTTGACACTTATAGAATGCTTGTAATTATACTTCAGTATACCATAGTAACATCTGACAAAAATATATCATAACACTGAAGCAGCGAACTTTGTGAAGACCAATACTTGTGTCATTCTCAAAACTTTTCACCACGACTGTACTTAGGTGTATGACAGTGGAGGATGCTGAGGGGAGGACGCCTCATAATAATGTCTGGAATAAAGTGTTATGACTGAAATGGAGTGAATGGAATGTTATCAAACACACAACCATGTGTTTGATACCATTCCATTCACTAAATTCCAGCCATTATTATGAGCCGTCCTCCCCTCAGCAGCCCCCACTGGTGTACAAGGCTTTACTACAGAAGAGTTACAAGGTGTGTTGAACGAAAGAGTCCCGTCCTCCCAGGCTGTTGTTCTGGTGTAGGATCGGTTAGGGTCAAAGTAGTTGAATAGGGTGGTGTTTTTAGTTTTTTTTTCTGTAGCGCAAAATGTAACGTGATCGACCACACACTACCGCACAGTAGGTGGCGGCATGCACAAACAAAATGTGTGAACGCCATGATACCAAAGAAGGAGAAGAAGATTTGAGCAGTACGAGTTTACTGACGTGGTAAACGCTACGTTGCTGCTGGAGGGAGTTAAGTGTGTGGAGTGCGATACTGCGAGGCAGTTTCATCATACTGTGGTTGTAGCCGACGGATAGACATCGGCTTTAGACAGCGCCAGCTGATGAGGGGAAACGCATTTGGTGGATTATTATACCTCAAATGCATATTGCATTGTCTGCGAAATTAGTCTCCTACCTATTCCAATGAAAGCCCATTGATCAGTCGGGGATTCAATGTGGCCGAAGATGCTTACAGATATGATTGAGGTGGAAGAATTCGAAATCAAGGAGGAAGAACCTTGGTATGACAAGCAGGACCTTGAGCGTGGTAAATATGATTCTATCCATAATGATGACCGAGACTGGGAAAGCGCGGGTCCACCTGTGCTGTGATTATCAGTGGCCGGCAGCAACAACCTAGCAGTGGCCACAATTTGACATAGCGTAAGGCAAAATTATTTTCAAGCAGGTGCTGAAACAATGAGCTCTTGGTGCACCGCCTTTTTCATATGGCAGGTGTCATGTCACTATCAAATGTAGTAGCCTACAGGCTACCGGACACATTTGGTAGCCTACTGCGGCAGAACACTGTCGGACTTCAGACAAATATATGAAGGTTGTCTCACGCAGAATTTCCATCACACCCGAGGGTAGCATTCCACCGCCATGGATGAAGGAACCAACCATTTGAAAAAATGAATCCTTTGTCTTAGTTTTTCTACTCATTTTCATCTCTGCATATTAAGGTTTTATTTCACTAATTTATATTGTTCAAGATCTATCATTGACCATCTATTGATGAATGCTGGAATATAAATATAAGGAAATGGGGAAATAGCTCTAGAAACATCTATTCAGTTTTCATGCTCATAAACTCGCCCCATTACAAATCTTGTAAATGAGAGACTGTCTCACAACGCATGAATTAGGCCAGAGTGATGAAGGTAGATTTTTTTTGTACCTTTCTGATTGTAAATGCCCTGACTTGGGTCAAATAGCCTACATATCTCCAATATATTTGTGGTGTGCTTGATTTATCTATTTTGGGACTATGTTCTATTGTAGGCTATTGTTGGCAAACTACTGTAAATGAAGGGTAGCACAAGTAACATGTATTTGACCCACCAACACAGGTAGGATGTCTGCAAGATAGATGCATGTACCTGACCTTGAGCATTGAGGCACAGACACAGCCATAGATGCACTGTGCACTCTGCCACCTCTTGTCGCACTAATGGCCACGTCTTTGCCCAAGCCTTTATTTAATTAGTGACAGACAGTGATCATTTATAGATCCTATTCTCTGATCTCTCTTTCCTCCCATGCAGACCTGCACCTGGCTGCTGAGCTGGGGAAGACCCTGCTGGACAGGAACAGAGAGCTGGAGCAGGGTCTGCAGCAGATGTACTCCACCAATCAGGAACAGCTACAGGAGATAGAGGTAAAGGTTAAACCAATCAGGTTGTAGCTACAAGGGTAGAGGTAACTGGGTTTGACCAATCAGGAGTCAGCAGGCAGACACAGTCCCAAACCATAGCTATAGGCATTTCCCGTAGTGTGCATGTTTTTGTTCCAGCCCAGTACAAGCACACATTATCCAGGTAATCAAGCACTAGTTGACACACCTGAGGCCTGTCCGTTAGGCTACAATCTGTTCCTGTTGAAAACAAGAGATGTTGAAAACAAGAGAAACTGCCCTCAGATTTGTGCTCCTTTAATTCCTTAATCAAATCAGTGTTCCAGATTCATAAAAGGCAGGCTACCATTAACTCCCTTTGAAGCAGAAATGAGAGGATTGAACCCTGATGGATTGATTACTTGATCTCTCGGCTGCACCTGTTGTTTACCATAGGTCCATGTAGGGTAGGACCCTAGAAACACAAAGGTTACAGAATAGAATGGGTACTTTAAAATGCAGACATTTAATCAGAAATGGTTTTGTCAAGACGAGGCTACAAAATCTATATTCCAATTGTTGTCTTTGTTTTTCAATACTATAAATCCCCAGGTAATAATTGTTTACACTATACTGTTTTGTTTTTGTGTGTACAGGATTACATCAACACCATTATCAAACAGTAGTGGACCAATTGGGATCTCTTACTCCTTTGAAAACAGCATACCCCATTGCTTTTCACCTTGTTCAGTGACGTTTCAGAGGACTAGGAAAGATAGGCTGCCCATATCAGTTGTCCTCTTTTTTCGGACATACCTTTGAACCAACATTGCCGCCATTGTATTGTTGTGACTCAAAATAACTTTAGATTAAATAACCTCTCCATGCTAGAGAATCTATTTAACCAATTGAGTTTGTATTTAAATATCACATTCAGTCTTGGTGTTTTTTTTGTATCACTACTGAATCTATATTGTATGGTCAGCAAATGCCACTCATTTCCAGATGAGCTCTGGATTTAATTTCCCTGAGTAGGGTCAGCTCTGGATGTGCGACTCCTAAATCCTTCCCTGTCTCTGAAACTGCTGACTGACAGAATTAATCTCTCTAAAGGTGCCATCCATTTCATGACCTGACTGCATGTAGAAATGGCACAGGAGGAAGCTGATGCTGTGAATTATGTTATCTTGCCTATGTTATTTTACACTATAGATAACCGCCACCATTTTTCATAACTTAGTCTTTTGAATTCTGCATCATTAAATTATCTAAGTGAATAGCATTGCAAGATAATGTACAGCTCCTATGGACTGTAGAAGTATTTGTTTTATTGCTAGGATTTATGTTTTTAGTAGGTGTTTTGTGGCTGATCAGGATCTTAATGAGCTGACTAAAGGTTCACAGCATTCTCCATAGATATTGAATTGTTAAGTTAAAGTAAAGATGCCTTAATAGAAAATTACTCAAGTATAAGTGAAAGTCACCCAGTAAAATACTACTTGAGTAAAATTCTAAAAGTATCTACACTGAACAAAAATATAAACGCAACATGTAAAGTGTTGGTTGCATGAGCTGAAATAAAAAGATCCCAGAAATTGTCCATACGCACAAAACAATTATTTCTCTCATTTTGTGCACAAAATTGTTTACATACCTGTTAGTGAGCATTTCTCAGTTGACAAGACAATCCATCCACCTGACAGGTGTGGCATAACAAGAAGCTGATTAAACCGCATGACCATTACACAGGTGGACCTTGTGCTGGGTACAATAAAAGGCCACTCTAAAATGTGCAGTTTTGTCACACGACACAATGCCACAGATGTCTCAAGTTTTGAGTGAGTGTGCAATTGTCATACTGACTGCAGGAATGTCCACCAGAGCTGTTGCCAGAGAATTGAATGGTCATTTCTCTACCATAAGCCGCCTCCAACATCGTTTTAGAGAATTTGGCAGTATGTCCAACCGGCCTCGCAACTGCAGACCACGTGCATTGCGTTGTGTGGGCGAGCGGTTTGCTGATGTCAATGTTGTGAACAGAGTGTCCCATGGTGGCATTGGGGTTATGGTATGGGCAGGCAGGCATAAGCTACGGACAACGAACCCATTTTATTGATGGCAATTTTAATGCACAGAGATACCGTGACGAGATCCTGAGGCCCATTGTCGTGCCATTCATCTGCCGCCATCGCCTGCACGGCCCCATGTCGCAAGGATCTGTACACAATTCCTGGAAGCTGAAAATGTCCCAGTTCTTCCATGGCCTGCATACTCACCAGAAATGTCACCCATTGAGCAGCTTTGGGATGCTCTGGATCGACGTGTACACCAATATCCAGTAATTTCACACAGCCATTGAAGAGGAGTGGGACAACATTCCACAGGCCACAATCACCAGCCTGATCAACTCTATGCAAAGGAGATGTGTCGCGCTGCATGAGGAAAATGGTGGTCACACCAGATACTGACTGGTTTTCTGATCCATGCCCCTACCTTTTTTAAGGTATCTGTGACCAACCGATGCATATCTGTATTCCCAGTCGTGAAATCCATAGATTAGGGCCTAATTAATTTATTTCAATTGACCGATTTTCCTTATATGAACTGTAACTCAGTAAAATCTTTGAAATTGTTGCATTTATATTTTTGTTCAGTATAGTTTAAAATGTTATGGTGGAAAAGTACTCAATTGTCATACTTGAGTAAAAGTAAAAAGTAAATGCTATACATTAAATTCCTTATATTAAGCAAACCAGATGGCACAATTAATTAATTTATTATTTATTTACGGACAGCCAGGGGCACACCAACACTCGGTATCATTTATAAACGCAGTATTTGTGTTTAGTGAGTCTCCCAGATCAGAGCAGTAGGGATAACAACGCGTAATATATTGATAGGTGCGTGAATTGGGCCATATTGCTGACCTGCCTGAGCATTCGAAATGTAACCAGTACTTTTGAGTGTCAGGGAAAATGTATGGAAGTAAAAAGTACATATTTTCTTTAGGAAAGTAGTGGAGTAAATGTTGTCAAAAATATAAATAGTAAAGTACAGACACCCCCAAAAACGACTTAAGTAGTACTTTAAAGTATTTCTACTTAATTACTTTACACCACTGTGTAATCTGGATTCAAATAAGAAATTAATTGTGAAGTTGAAGGTGGCCGGTTATGTGATGATACTGAGTCCTGGTTCTCTCCTCCTCCATCCCCCTCCCTCCAGTACCTGACTAAGCAGGTGGACCTCCTGAGGCAGGTGAATGACCAGCATGCTAAGGTGTACGAGCAGCTAGACCAGTCCTCCAGAGAGCAGGAGCAGAGCAACACCCGCCTGGTACAGGACAACAGGGCCGCCCAGCACAAGATCCAGGGGTGGGTTGAAACCTGAGGCTGCGTCCCACCCTCTTCACCCTTCTCGCACACTTTCTCACATTGATCTAACAATGGTGGAAACTCCCTCCAGCCAATGCTTAAACCAATCCTATGCATCTAAATCAATAATTTCTCCAGAGAATAGAGATGGAATGGTGAACGACTTGAGTTGGTGAGAGGAGAGCTAAATATGAGGGCAAAAGCAACATGATTAGTTGGTCTTTCTTCAGGCTCACAGAGATGATCGAGGCTCTGCAGACCCAGGTGGAGGATCTGCAACGTCAGGTAGAAGATCTGAAGACAGCCCCTGCTAATCCCCATTGGAAACCCCTTGCAGAGTCATGGCGGCCCTATGGGGCGCAGAGTGTGTCCTGCCTGAATGAGCTGCAACGCACACACAGGTGAGATCACAACACTCATACATGAAATACACACACTCGGTGGTCCCATTCTGTGAGCTTGTGTTGGCCTTCCACTTCGCGGCTGAGACGTTTTTTCCCCCTAGATGTGTCCACTTCACAATAACAGCACTTACAGTTGACTGGGGAAGCTCTAGCAGGGCAGAAATTTGACAAACTGACTTGTTGGAAAGGTGGCATCCTATGACGGTGCCACGTTGAAAGTCACTGAGCTCTTCAGTAGGGGCCATTCTACTGCCAATGTTTGTCTATGGAGATTGCATGCCTGTGTGCTTGATTTGATACACCTGTCAGCAACGGGTGTGGCTGAAATAGCCAAATCCACTAATTTGAAGGGGTGTCCACATACTGTTGGCCATGTAGTGTATATAGATCAGTCGGGTCTGCATGGGGTTAAATGGACATGGCACAATAAGGTCAGATTCATCAAATGGAAAATGTATTATTATTTTTTTAATGGGGGTAGATCAGCTTTAATATTGCAGATAGATTGTAACTTCCATCAATGTAATTGTCTGCATCACTTTCAATCCCCCATATGTTTTTTTCCCTTGCATATATATATATATATATATATATATATATATATATATATATATATATATATATATATATATATATATATATATATATATATATATATATATACACAGTGGGGGAAAAAAGTATTTAGTCAGCCACCAATTGTGCAAGTTCTCCCACTTAAAAAGATGAGAGAGGCCTGTAATTTTCATCATAGGTACACGTCAACTATGACAGACAAATTGAGAAAAAAAATCCAGAAAATCACATTGTAGGATTTTTTATGAATTTATTTGCAAATTATGGTGGAAAATAAGTATTTGGTCACCTACAAACAAGCAAGATTTCTGGCTCTCACAGACCTGTAACTTCTTCTTTAAGAGGCTCCTCTGTCCTCCACTCGTTACCTGTATTAATGGCACCTGTTTGAACTTGTTATCAGTATAAAAGACACCTGTCCACAACCTCAAACAGTCACACTCCAAACTCCACTATGGCCAAGACCAAAGAGCTGTCAAAGGACACCAGAAACAAAACTGTAGACCTGCACCAGGCTGGGAAGACTGAATCTGCAATAAGTAAGCAGCTTGGTTTGAAGAAATCAACTGTGGGAGCAATTATTAGGAAATGGAAGACATACAAGACCACTGATAATCTCCCTCGATCTGGGGCTCCACGCAAGATCTCACCCCGTGGGGTCAAAATGATCACAAGAACGGTGAGCAAAAATCCCAGAACCACACGGAGGGACCTAGTGAATGACCTGCAGAGAGCTGGGACCAAAGTAACAAAGCCTACCATCAGTAACACACTACGCCGCCAGGGACTCAAATCCTGCAGTTCCAGACGTGTCCCCCTGCTTAAGCCAGTACATGTCCAGGCCCGTCTGAAGTTTGCTAGAGTGCATTTGGATGATCCAGAAGAGGATTGGGAGAATGTCATATGGTCAGATGAAACCAAAATAACTTTTTGGTAAAAACTCAACTCGTCGTGTTTGGAGAACAAAGAATGCTGAGTTGCATCCAAAGAACACCATACCTACTGTGAAGCATGGGGGTGGAAACATCATGCTTTGGGGCTGTTTTTCTGCAAAGGGACCAGGATGACTGATCCGTGTAAAGGAAAGAATGAATGGGGCCATGTATCGTGAGATTTTGAGTGAAAACCTCCTTCCATCAGCAAGGGCATTGAAGATGAAACGTGGCTGGGTCTTTCAGCATGACAATGATCCCAAACACACCGCCCGGGCAACGAAGGAGTGGCTTCGTAAGAAGCATTTTAAGGTCCTGGAGTGGCCTAGCCAGTCTCCAGATCTCAACCCCATAGAAAATCTTTGGAGGGAGTTGAAAGTCCGTGTTGCCCAGCGACAGCCCCAAAACATCACTGCTCTAGAGGAGATCTGCATGGAGGAATGGGCCAAAATACCAGCAACTGTGTGAAAACCTTGTGAAGACTTACAGAAAACGTTTGACCTGTGTCATTGCCAACAAAGGGTATATAACATTTTGTTATTGACCAAATACTTATTTTCCACCATAATTTGTAAATAAATTCATAAAAAATCCTACAATGTGATTTTCTGGATTTTTCTTTCTAATTTTGTCTGTCATAGTTGACGTGTACCTATAATGAAAATTACAGGCCTCTCTCATCTTTTTAAGTGGGAGAACTTGCAACATACAGTTGAAGTCGGAAGTTTACATACAATTTTCACAATTCCTGACATTTAATCCTAGTAAAAATTCCCTGTCTTAGGTCAGTTAGGATCAACACTTTATTTTAAGAATGTGAAATGTCAGAATAATAGTAGAGAGAATGATTTCTTTCAGCTTTTATTTCTTTCATCACATTCCCAGTGGGTCAGAAGTTTACATACACTCAATTAGTATTTGGTAGCATTGCCTTTAAATTGTTTAACTTGGGTCAAAGGTTTGGGTAGCCTTCCACAAGCTTCCCACAATAAGTTGGGGGAATTTTGACCCATTCCTCCTTACAGAGCTGGTGTAACTGAGTCAGGTTTGTAGGCCTCCTTGCTCGCACACGCTTTTTCAGTTCTGCCCACAAATGTTCTATAGGATTGAGGTCAGGGCTTTGTGATGACCACAACAATACCTTGACTTTGTTGTCCTTAAGCCATTTTGCCACAACTTTGGAAGTATGCTTGGGGTCATGGTCCATTTGGAAGACCCATTTGCGACCAAGCTTTAACTTCCTGACTGATGTCTTGAGATGTTGCTTCAATATATCCACATAATTTTCCTTCCTCATGATGCAATCTATTTTGTGAAGTGCACCAGTCCCTCCTGCAGCAAAGCACCCCCACAGCATGATGCTGCCACCCCCGTACTTCACAGTTGGGATGGTGTTCTTTGGCTTGCAAGCCTACCCGTTTTTCCTCCAAACATAACGATGGTCATTATGGCCAAACAGTTGTATTTTTGTTTCATCAGACCAGAGGACATTTCTCCAAAAAGTATGATCTTTGTCCCCCTGTGCAGTTGCAAACCGTAGTCTGGCTTTTTTTATGGCGGTTTTGGAGCAGTGGCTTCTTCCTTGCTGAGCGGCCTTTCAGGTTATGTCGATATAGGACTCTGGATATAGATACTTTTGTACCTGTTTCCTCCAGCATCTTCACAAGGTCCTTTGCTGTTGTTCTGGGATAAATTTGCACTTTTCGCACCAAAGTACGTTCATCTCTAGGAGACAGAACGTGTCTCCTTCCTGAACAGTATGACGGCTGCATGGTCCCATGGTGTTTATACTTATAATAATAATAATAATATGCCATTTAGCAGACGCTTTTATCCAAAGCGACTTACAGTCATGTGTGCATACATTTTCATGTATGGGTGGTCCCGGGGATCGAACCCACTACCCTGGCGTTACAAGCGCCATGCTCTACCAATTGAGCTACAGAGGACCACTTGCGTACTATTGTTTGTACAGATGAACGTGGTACCTTCAAGCGTTTGGAAATTGCTCCCAAGGATGAACCAGACTTGTGGAGGTCTACCATTTTTTTTCTGAGGTATTGGCTGATTTCTTTTGATTTTCCCATGATGTCAAGCAAAGAGGAACTGAGTTTGAAGGTAGGCCTTGAAATACATCCACAGGTACAACTCCAACTGACTCAAATGATGTCAATTAGCCTATCAGAAGCTTCTAAAGCCATGACATCATTTTCAGGAATGTTTAAAGCTGTTTAAAGGCACAGTCAACTTTGTGTATGTAAACTTCTGACCCACTGGAATTGTGATACAGTGAATTATAAGTGAAATAATCTGTCTGTAAACAATTGTTGGAAAAATTACTTGTGTCATGCACAAAGTAGATGTCCTAACCGACTTGCCAAAACAATAGTTTGTTAACAAGAAATTTGTGGAGTGGTTGAAAAACGGGTTTTAATGACTCCAACCTAAGTGTATGTAAACGTCCGACTTCAACTGTATATCACCCACAATTGCTGATGCTCCAGATACTCAACTAGTCTCAAGAAGGCCAGTTTTATTGCTTCTTTAATCAGCACAACAGTTTTCAGCTGTGCTAACATAATTGCAAAAGGGTTTTCTAATGATCAATGAGCCTTTTTAAAATGATAAACTTAGATTAGCAAACACAACGTGCCATTGGAACACAGGACTGATGGTTGCTGATAATGGGCGCTGTACGCCTATGTAGATATTCCATAAAAAATCAGCCGTTTCCAGGTACAATAGCCATTTACAACATTAACAATGTCTACACTGTATTTCTGATCAATTTGATGTTATTTTAATAGACAAAATAATTGCTTTTCTTTCAAAAACAACGACATTTCTAAGTGACCCAAAACTTTTGAACAGTAGTGTATATACATACATACATACATATACAGTGAGGGGAAAAAAGTATTAGATCCCCTGCTGATTTTGTACGTTTGCCCACTGACAGAAATTATCAGTCTATAATTTTAATGGTAGGTATAATTGAACAGTGAGACAGAATAACAACAAAAAAATCCAGAAAAACGCATGTAAAAAATGTTATAAATTGATTTGCATTTTAATTAGGGAAATAAGTATTTGACCCCCTCTCAATCAGAAAGATTTCTGGCTCCCAGGTGTCTTTTATACAGGTAACGAGCTGAGATTAGGAGCACACTCTTAAAGGGAGTGCTCCTAATCTCAGTTTGTTACCTGTATAAAAGACACCTGTCCACAGAAGCAATCAATCAATCACATTCCAAACTCTCCACCATGGCCAAGACCAAAGAGCTCTCCAAGGATGTCAGGGACAAGATTGTAGACCTACACAAGGCTGGAATGGGCTACAAGACCATCGCCAAGCAGCTTGGTGAGAAGGTGACAACAGTTGGTGCGATTATTCGCAAATGGAAGAAACACAAAAGAACTATCAATCTCCCTCGGCCTGGGGCTCCATGCAAGATCTCACCTCGTGGAGTTGCAATGATCATGAGAACGGTGAGGAATCAGCCCAGAACTACATGGGAGGATCTTGTCAATGATCTCAAGGCAGCTGGGACCATAGTCACCAAGAAAACAATTGGTAACACACTACGCCGTGAAGGACTGAAATCCTGCAGCGCCCGCAAGGTCCCCCTGCTCAAGAAAGCACATATACAGGCCCGTCTGAAGTTTGCCAATGAACATCTGAATGATTCAGAGGAGAACTGGGTGAAAGTGTTGTGGTCAGATGAGACCAAAATCGAGCTCTTTGGCATCAACTCAACTCGCCGTGTTTGGAGGAGGAGGAATGCTGCCTATGACCCCAAGAACACCATCCCCACTGTCAAACATGGAGGTGGAAACATTATGCTTTGGGGGTGTTTTTCTGCTAAGGGGACAGGACAACTTCACCGCATCAAAGGGACGATGGACGGGGCCATGTACCGTCAAATCTTGGGTGAGAACCTCCTTCCCTCAGCCAGGGCATTGAAAATGGGTCGTGGATGGGTATTCCAGCATGACAATGACCCAAAACACACGGCCAAGGCAACAAAGGTGTGGCTCAAGAAGAAGCACATTAAGGTCCTGGAGTGGCCAGTCTCCAGACCTTAATCCCATAGAAAATCTGTGGAGGGAGCTGAAGGTTCGAGTTGCCAAATGTCAGCCTCGAAACCTTAATGACTTGGAGAAGATCTGCAAAGAGGAGTGGAACAAAATCCCTCCTGAGATGTGTGCAAACCTGGTGGCCAACTACAAGAAACGTCTGACCTCTGTGATTGCCACCAAGGGTTTTGCCACCAAGTACTAAGTAATGTTTTGCAGAGGGGTCAAATACTTATTTCCCTCATTAAAATACAAATCAATTTATAACATTTTTGACATGCGTTTTTCTGGATTTTTTTGTTGTTATTCTGTCTCTCACTGTTCAAATAAACCTACCATTAAAATTATACACTGATCATGTCTTTGTCAGTGGGCAAACGTACAAAATCAGCAGGGGATCAAATACTTTTTTCCCTCATTGTACACATACATACATATAAATACATATATAAATACATATACATATCCTTTTAAAAAATATATTTCCCTTTATTACTTTCCAACCCCACCACCCCTTCCCTAATTGGAGTAAACTAGTGAACAACAACGCTAAAGCCTCTACTTCCAGCTTATACATACTATATACATTTTATGGACACAGTCAATTTTACAATAATTATATTTTGTTTGTTTTTACTCCTGAACTTCCTCTACCCTCAACCTCTCCGATCATTTTCATGATGTCCATCCGGTTTGCTTCTATATGCCATGTCTTTCTAACTGTGCTCTTTCACAAAAGCTCTCAACCTATAACCTATATACTTATTATGGACACGGTATGCTTTACATTAGTTATCTTCTTGTTATTAGTCCCATCCTTCAGCTCCATTCAACACCTCCCATCTATCTCTTAACACCATCCATATTGGATTTATATTTGCCATATATTTTTCAACTGTACTGTGATGTTTCACCAAAGTTCTGAACCCTTCTATTCTCATTGTTTCTACAGATTGTAAATTGAAAATAAACATTTTTGCTAAAAGTATTATTATATTATTGATCGATTGACTATGACTTTTCAGATCACCCAGTAGTGCTATCTGCAGGGTTAGCTCCCGGTAAATATTGCAATCCTACAAATGGACAGTACCAAAACAAATGATCTAATGATTCTGTCTCTTCGCAGCAAAATCTGCAGATCTGGGAAGATTGTATCCCCCATATAAATAACATTCTATTGGTAGCAATAATTTTGTATAATAATTTAAATTGAAAGATTCTAAGTTTTGAATCCGGCGTCGTTTTCATATCAGTTCATAAACACTATGCCATGGAATCGGTACGTCAAAAATATTTTGCAATCTATATGGGACGGCTGTCAATCCTTTGGTCCTTAAATAAAAAAGTATACCAGTTTCATTTATCACAATTTTCTTTAACCAATTATGTTATTTAATGCAGGGCCAACAGACAAGTTCCTTAATTTTTCCCCCTTCCACTTTCCTCTTCCATTTTTGCGGTAATGCTGCAATTATTTGGTTGTAATTTTGGGTAGAGCAGACATTTCCATATGTTTTTGTTAGCTGCATGTGCGACATAACTCCACCAGTCCTACCTATGATATAATTTACGAAGATTATACCTCTTTTAAACATAAAAAAAAAAATGGTTTTTTATCAATTAGTATATTTGAGTTTAACGACAATATTTGTTGCATTATTTGTTCTGTCATTTCTGGAGGATTAAATTGAAATTGCATCCACAACTTTCTATGGCTTGTTTAAAAAAATAGTGATATTTGAGAGATGATTTCCTTTTCAAACAACTGAAAGTGAGAGGTTGTAATCTGAATAAAGGGAAAAAGGCCATTCTTGAACATGGGGTGAGACAATCTTACTAATATGCTAGACTGAAGCTTTTAGTGATAGGTCTAATACTTTAATATTTAATAATTTCTGTCCTCCGAATTCATATTCATTATATAAATAGGCCCGTTTAATTTTGTCTGGCTTGCAGTTCCCGTATTAACATTTTATGCATTTACAGCTGAATAGCTTGTGCATTAATAATTGTATTTAAGCTGCAGGTAGAAAAGGTTTTGCGATAATACTTAGAGAAGACGTAGCGCCACTGAAGTTGCCATTAGTTAGTTCTATTCTAGATGGTCTAAGGCCCTAAACCCTACTTTAGATTTTGTTCATTCAATACCACAAGTCCCTCTTGGCCCTGACCTAGCAGTGCGGTTTGGCTCTCTCTCTCTGTTACCTCTCTCGCCGTACACTACGGCTGTTGAAGGGGACTAGTGGCTACTGCTAGCCCTCTTCCTGCCCTCTGAGGCCATAGCAGTTCAGACTGTGTTATCGTGTTTGGACTGGGCTCCTCTCTTAATCCAGGCCAAAACTCATAGGTCACTGATAAACACACATGCCAAACAGATTATAGTATTCTCTCCCTACTGACCTCACTGAGCACTGGTCACAGTTGTCACGCAAAGGTACAACTGTGACCAGGATTTGATTTTGATAGTCACAAGGCCACTCATCTCTGCCTTCAATAAAGATCACTCCCTGATTAGTCTTATTGGCAGCTTATCAGTAACTTTATAACACTAATTAGGTGTGTAAGTGCTGGTCTGGACTGGAACAAAAATTGTTTCCCATCCTTTTTATAAGTTTAATTGGTTGGATTCTCTCTGACCCCTCCAAGGTACTCGAGTTACGACTCTGGAGAGCAATCGGATGACCCCTGGTCTCCCTCTGACGTCTCGTGGCGGGAGGAGGAGCAGGAGTCGCTTCGGCGATCGCTCCGCTCCCTACAGACCCAGCTGGCCAATGAACGTGCTCGGAGGGAGGGGGCAGAGCGAGATGCAGACCACCTAGCCAATGAGAATGTGGCACTGGAGCAGCGCCTGGGAATGATGGAGGGGTGTCAGGTGAGGAAGAGAAGCAACACACACACACACACAGAATCATTTGAAGCAAATACAATCTGTTTGCTCCTCCTATGTAGTGAAATGGTTAAGTCAAGAGTTCCATGTTACATTACTGAATCCTGTCTCTCTCTTTCTCTCTTCCCCCTTCTCTCTCTATCTAACTCCCCTATCGGTCCTCTCTCTCTGTCCAGGCCAGACTAGCGGAGCTGGAGTGTGAGGCTGAGGAGCTTCGTCAGCTTTGGAGAGCCGACTATGGCACCAAAGCTTTGAGGTCAAGGGTCAGCCTAACCATGCTGCCCAATGCCCTCTTCTTCCCCCTGAACCAGGAGAGGGGGACGGAGGCGGATGGAGAGAGCGAGGGAGACCTTATGGAGGTCAGCTACCTTTCCAAGGTGAAAGGTTGTGGCGTCCTAAAGCACTGCAACAGCGAGAAGCAGCTTAGGTCAACGAGGGGTGAGGGGTCAGACGTAGACGAGAGTCATGACCACGAGCGTTCGTGCGTCCGCCGTTCAGAGGTGGTGAAGCAGCGTGGGATCTCCCTCCTCAACGAGGTTGACGCTCAGTACAGCGCCCTGCAGATCAAATATGACGCACTGCTGCAGCGCTGCCACCAGGGGGAGCCGGACCCGAGCCAGCAGCACAGACAAAAGGAGGTCAAAAAGCCCAGCGGAGACCCCTTGGTCTGCCCACGAAGCCCAGCCTCCCTCCGCCAGGTTGCAGGCACAGACATGGAGGGCCTGGAGGATGAACTTCACCAGCCTGAGTACAAGGCCCTGTTCAAGGAGATCTTTATGTGCATCCAGAAAACCAAAGAGGACCTGATTGAGAACAGGGGTCAATCTTGGCAGCTGCACTAGCATTACTTTCGCAAATAAACATAGAAAAATGGGTTTGTGCTGAACAAGCTATTTTTATGCTCCAATTGGAGGTGGGACATACTATATGTGCTAGCTACTAAACAAGCAAAGCACCATACTCAAACAATTTCAGACTTGTTTAAAAGTTTGCCTGGGAACTGCTGTGTTATATCTGGTAGAAGTGAAGATGAATTGATAACCTTCTCAAAGGGCTCATTGCTATCTATGGTCATTGGAGCAGCTAGAGAAAGGCAAGATACGCCAGCTCTTATGCATGGAAACAACAGTGCCTAACGTTCACTCTATAATACATCATTCTGCCTCAATCACCCAGGCCTACCTGAGCCAGTTGCTTAGCATCTAAGGGCAACTTTACTGTACACTGAGAAACCAAGGACCTCTGGAAACTATTTCTGTGGACTAGCTCTTTTCAATGGTACCTCTATGCATATCCTTTTAAAGTGACTTGTCTGAGCCTGATGGTCCAAACGGGAACTTTTTACCATCTTTGTGTGCCTAGAAATGACACTGTTTCCTACTCTTGGTAATGAGTTACCTTGCAAGGCGATGTGTGAAGGCAATCTGAATTTTAAAAAGGGAGAGCTTGTTATCGCTTTTGTTCAATGCAGCTATACAATAATCATCAACGCATCTTCAACTGCAGCTATGAAATATTTGGCCTAGATCTTTGTCATTATTAAAAGTTTCTGAATATCTTACCAGAACAAAAACCTGATATTTTTTGGTGCTCATGTAAGGTCCAAGATAAACTATAATTTCTACAAATAAGGTCATAATTTCCGGAACTCTATCTTTCACAATTGTACTGTATGTCTTCAAAAGATTTTGCCTGATCCCGAAGTTTAAAAACTAATGTAATTGGGAAGAAGACTGAGTTGTTAATGAATAATGTAGTAGCTAGTGATAATCTACTGAGGATATACCAAAACTCGGCTATGTACTGTACGGTGCTATGATATTGATGTGCTTTACGAATACAATGACAGACAATGTAGACATTTCATAAGTGCTGTTCCAATTCTTTGTCAAAAACTGTCTGGTTAATCGTTTTTTTAACTCATGCTATCCTAATTGTTCATGATAGCCACATCCTTAGTTGACATCACTGTAAAATCACATTTTATTGAGATACACTTAAGACTTGCACAGGGATCGTTGTTATTTTCTGACACTTTATGTAGCTAGCCACTGTACTGTATAATAAGTGCTATTAGTAGTTCCTGTTCATTGTATTAGACACCAAAATAATGTGAAATGTATGTGTAATCTTTGATAAATGCAAACTCTGAGAGGATTCTGTGTCTCCATTGGTCAGTTATTACAACATGCCTAGTCATATGTGGTTTGTCAAAGTGCTATCATCATTCATGCAATTTGAACAAACCAGTTTATACACAGAGGAACATCATCATACTGGTATCACAAGACAGTGAAACAACTCTCACTTCGCAGAAGGGACAGGATGGAAGGCAGAACACGGTGGGACTCTGTAAGTTGCTGTTTTGTACTGTATGCATGTGTATTATCCTGTGTGGCTCAGTTGGTAGAGCATGGTGCTTGCAACGCCAGAGTTGTGGGTTTGATTCTCATGGGGGACCAGTACGAAAATGTAAGTTGCTCTGGATAAGAGTGCTGCTAATTGACCATTTTAAAATGTCAATGTATTTATTTATTTGTATTTAATAGTCTACATAGTGTGGCGTACCGCAGACAAGCCACCAGGGGGAGACTCGTTGAGGCCTGGTGACAGACGGTGTCTACATCACGTGGCGGTGGCTCCCTCTGCTGGACGTGCCAGGTCTCAACAGGTCCTCCGGCCAGGACTAATTGGGGTTGATTGAGGCTGGTGAGTAATCAAGCGGCTGATTGGTCACCAGCTGCACGGGGGCCCATAAAGCTGCCAGGAGGGCAGCACACGGGAGGGTTGGAAGTAGTGAGAGGTTGCTACTGGACAGACGTCCTCAAGGTCTGATAGAACCGAGGGGCTCGGTGTTCTACCCCAGTGGAGACAGCATTCCCCGGAGCCCAGAAGGCAGTAACCCGGAAGAGGAGACCGGTTTCTTTTCTTTTTCTTTGTTTTAAATAAACACCCTTGACACTGAGGTATCACACTTGTGTCAGTGTCTGATCTGTGTAAATATCTTGATCAAACCCCCTGGTCTGCCACAATAGTAACAGATTAACTCGCCTTGTTTGGCATTTTACAAAATGGTTTAGTTGGAAGGAAGTAAAAAGGTCTGGTGTATTGGAAGTGAGGAGTAAGACATTCTGAGGGTTAGTATAACCTTTAGTTCCAGACAATAACAGTGCTCAGAATCAGTTTGTTGCAAATGCCAATAAGAATTGTATATAGTGATTGTACCTGTACATAATATGAGCATATGTCTTTTGAAAGGAGAAAAGGTTGGGAAAGTAGATATAGATTTAATTCAATGTAGTTCCTGATCTAGTTTTATTTTATTTTATGCATACTAAACACACGTAGCATGTTGCTGAACCTTCCAGTGTATGAATAGATCTGGTTTCTCTGTAAGAAATCAAATGGCATGAAGAGGGCAGTAATGAGGACATATGGTGCTATGTAACAGATTTAAAAGCTAAGAAACAAATAGAGAAGTTAACAGTATCAATGACACATTTTTTAAACAAATATGATTTCAAGATTTTGGGGGGGAGACTTAAAAAAAAACGTCCTCCATTGTTCCACTTTAATTCAACACTGCATGTGTTCACTGTACACGGGTGGGTTTCTCAAAGCCGTTACAGTGGGGAGAACAAGTATTTGATACACTGCCGATTTTGCAGATTTTCCTACTTACAAAGCATGTAGAGGTCTGTAATTTTTATCATAGGTACACTTCAACTGTGAGAGACGGAATCTAAAACAAAAATCCAGAAAATCACATTGTATGATTTTTAAGTAATTAATTTGCATTTTATTGCATGACATAAGTATTTGATCACCTACCAACCAGTAAGAATTCCGGCTCTCACAGACCTGTTAGTTTTTCTTTAAGAAGCCCTCCTGTTCTCCACTCATTACCTGTATTAACTGCACCTGTTTGAACTCGTTACCTGTATAAAATACACCTGTCCACACACTCAATCAAACAGACTCCAACCTCTCCACAATGGCCAAGACCAGAGAGCTGTGTAAGGACATCAGGGATAAAATTGTAGACCTGCACAAGGCTGGGATGGGCTACAGGACAATAGGCAAGCAGCTTGGTGAGAAGGCAACAACTGTTGGCGCAATTATTAGAAAATGGAAGAAGTTCAAGATGACGGTCAATCACCCTCGGTCTGGGGCTCCATGCAAGATCTCACCTCGTGGGGCATCAATGATCATGAGGAAGGTGAGGGATCAGCCCAGAACTACACGGCAGGACCTGGTCAATGACCTGAAGAGAGCTGGGACCACAGTCTCAAAGAAAACCATTAGTAACACACTACGCCGTCATGGATTAAAATCCTGCAGTGCACGCAAGGTCCCCCTGCTCAAGCCAGCGCATGTCCAGGCCCGTCTGAAGTTTGCCAATGACCATCTGGATGATCCAGAGGAGAAATGGGAGAAGGTCATGTGGTCTGATGAGACAGAAATTGAGCTTTTTGGTCTAAACTCTACTCGCCGTGTTTGGAGGAAGAAGAAGGATGAGTACAACCCCAAGAACACCATCCCAACCGTGAACCATGGAGGTGGAAACATCATTCTTTGGGGATGCTTTTCTGCAAAGGGGACAGGACGACTGCACCGTATTGAGGGGAGGATGGATGGGGCCATGTATCGCGAGATATTGGCCAACAACAAAGAGCATTGAAGATGGGTCGTGGCTGGGTCTTCCAGCATGACAACGACCCGAAACACACAGCCAGGGCAACTAAGGAGTGGCGCCGTAAGAAGCATCTCAAGGTCCTGGAGTGGCCTACCCAGTCTCCAGACCTGAACCCAATAGAAAATCTTTGGAGGGAGCTGAAAGTCCGTATTGCCCAGCGACAGCCCCGAAACCTGAAGGATCTGGAGAAGGTCTGTATGGAGGAGTGGCCCAAAATCCCTGCTGCAGTGTGTGCAAACCTGGTCAAGACCTACAGGAAACGTATGATCTCTGTAATTACAAACAAAGGTTTCTGTACCAAATATTAAGTTCTGCTTTTCTGATGTATCAAATACTTATGTCATGCAATAAAATGCAAATTAATTACTTAAAAATCATACAATGTGATTTTCTGGATTTTTGTTTTAGATTCCGTCTCTCACAGTTGAAGTGTACCTATGATAAAAATTACAGACTTCTACATGCTTTATAAGTAGGAAAACCTGCAAAATCGGCAGTGCATCAAATACTTGTTCTCCCCACTGTATATCTGCCTACAAAATCAGTCTCAATAAAATGAGTCTTGGGAGAGAGAGAAGGGGACCACTGACTCTAATAGCAGTCTCTCTGGGGAGCGACGAGGTGGACAGATTCACCTGTACCCAGCTGTGTGTCCATGAAGAATGACCATTCTATGATACTGCCAATATAATTCAAGCAGGGAGCCTTCTCTGATAAACAAGGGTAAGACATTTGCATTCTTGGACATTCAGACATTTTCTTAATGACTTTTCTTGGTAGAAACACCAATGCCCTGTAAATATTCATTTTCTGCTTAACCCTTTAGACTTGTGGGAATTGGCCTATATGGATAGGGCCAAATTTAAATGTTTCTAACAGAAGAAATATGAAAAAGCATATGCATAACCATGGTAGCAATTGAATAGGAACATTGGAGATTATGGGGAAATTATCAGACTAAAGGTGAGGACACAACAGTTCACCTGACACAAGACTGAATCCAAACATTTTCATTTGACGTTTACTGAATTTTTGGCAGCATTTGTCGATAACTAAATCCAAAAATACTCTGGATACAATCAGTAACATAAGAATATTCATGAAAAATGTAGGGTAGGTGCAACATAAGACAATAAAAATGACAAG